ATCACCGCTGTCCAGGCAAAAAATTTGCCCATAGCACACTGTATGATACCAGTCTTTATTAACCCAGCTGGGGCAGAACAGTAGGACGTTAATCCCCATTTCATTTTCACTAATCATGACACCAACTTGTGACGTGTTCTTTTCCATGGAAATTTGTTCAGCTGGGGGTAGGGAGAGAACATTCGAAGGATATCTTTCGATGAATGTCTGTACAATAACATGGGTCTGCTGAGAATTTTGCCTGGAGACCACCAGGGTATCTTTTACATCGACAGAATTTAGTGGGTGTATATTCTTATACTTTACAATATATTAAATACGATCTCCAAATTCTTCGAACCTCTGAGATTAGACGCTCCCTCATGGACCCTGCAAAGGTTGCTTGCTCTCTCTCTCTCTCTCTTGTTTTTTTTTAAAAAGTAGGAAATCTATTTTTTCATCGCTTTCGACCCTTCTCTTTTCATATATTAAGCCCTGCAAGTTGGAATATGGATAGAAAAATATTTAATTTATTGTTCTTTATTGCTTCTCGTAGGAACTTTGTATGTGCACCTTTTCACATTATTTTCTTGTCAAAGGAAAATAAACATAAAATGCTGTATTTATTTTATATTTTAGAATGTACAAGCAGGAGACCAACAACAACCAATTTTAGAAGATCAGATAGGCAATCCATCGAAACTGACACTGACATGACACTTAGTCACAATTTGTAGAACTGAAATGGGGTTTAACCTCCTACTGTTCTGTTCCGACTGGTCTTATGAAGATGGACATACGCCATACAGTGTGCTATTAGGACAGTTTTGCCCGGGCAGCGGCAATATGGCCTACTCTTTTATCAAATTCCAACTGTCAAGGGATCTTTAACGTGCACACCAATGTATACACTGGACATCGGTTTGTGGTCCAAACCGAACGACTAGACAGCTGTCCTTGTCAGGCTCTCCGTCCTGCACCACTGACAAGCGGAAACCACGTCGGAAAATCCCGATGAACTTTCTCGGCCAATGCAGCAATCGAAACCCCGGGCTAGCAAACCAGCGTCTTACCCACTTAGCCACTGTGGCTTTCTACAATTTGTAGAGAAATGAAATACAACCTGTGTATTACTTGAATATCAACATTTTCATATTTGACTACGGGTTCAGCAGTCATTGTTGTAATAAATTTAATAAAGGGGTAGATATAACACATAGTATTGATAATAATATTAGGAAAATGAAAATAATAATACTTATGTAAAGTTAATTAAAGTTGTCTTTTCCACAGTAATGAAGAATGAGTAGGGGTGATGGAAAACACAATATTTAGGTTATTTAATAAGTCCCATCATAAGCACTAGGCAGGAATATCACTGTGTCGCGGTTAAGGTCTGGGCTGTTCCTTTTAATGTGTATGGCCGCAATAAGTTTACAACAATGAGATTTATTTTAGTCTATAGTTACTTCAAGTTAATTACCGTTATCTAAACATACCATGGTATACCATAATTGTATTGTAGGTACTATTTCATTCTGTCGGTAGTATTGTATATATTATCTTAACTACTTAATTGCTTAACTTTACCGGGGGGGGGGGGGGTGGATGGCCGAATGGTTAGCACGCGTGCGCTGTATCATACGGTCTGTCATTGAGTCAACTGGCGGGGTTTCGATTCCCCGGTTGTACGTGACAAGGAGTAGGGTCGCCTGTCCAACCTCGTGGGTTTTCTCCGGGTCCTCCGGTTTCCTCCCACAGCTAAAGACCCCTACGCGCAAGCAAATTATTGAAATGAAAATTAAACCATGGGTGAGTCCCGAAATGACCTTGTTTGTGTCGAGTGGACGTTAAACCCCATTTCTCTCTCTCTCTCGCTTAACTTTACTCATGGCTACACTTAAGCTTACAATCTGTTTCACAGAGATCTTCTAATATCTCTGTAACAGATGACTGTTTCGACACGTGACGTCACATCACGCGGCGTCAATCATTGGTCAATATGGTCAATAGCGCGTGCATTGTGTACATAAGACGTTACTGATTCGGGCTAAATCTTGAATTTTACTTATTTTAATACCCATTTACACTAAATAGGAAACGCTTTTTACCTACAAATAATTGAAACGTCTTTATTTATTTTTCTAATAAATGAAAAAAATGTTTTAGAATTTAATTTGACGGAAAAAAAAAGTTAATATTTGGGACTCATTAAGTCGCATCGATGTCATCCTTATCAGTGATTGTAGCGGCCTAGCGAAAATTCACTGCTGATCAAAGCTTAGTGTTAATTAGTTTGTAAGGAATAACCACCTTTGATCTTCTTGTTGTCCTTTAAGGTTTCGTGAATTGTTTTTGTAGTCTTTCTGTATATATTGATCTCATAATTCTTGTATTAATTAACTTTTAACCATATGAAATCTATTGTACGAACAGTTTTTAATATGTAAATAATCCAATTTTCCACATAACGCAAGCGGATTCTTTTTCCCTACGTTTTTTTTTTCTATCCGCACTGATGACGCCAAACATCAGTCAGCTGGACCTCCTGTTTTAACATGTTTTTATTATGACAAAGGGAGAAGATCACCCGCCCTCTCTTCTCACGACAGCGATTTTATAAGTGTGCTTTAAATTGACTTTTTTTTAATTATTATTCAAGGACTTTTTATTTTGTGTTTTACCAATTTTAAGGAGACTTTTGATATACACGGACGTTTGTATTGTATGCTTTTACCAATTTTAAACCTATTAAGTGTAAATAATTTAATTAAATCAACCTTCCATAATCTCATATTTAATGTACTGGACGTTAAATCTGTAATAAACAACAACAAACAACACTTGTATTACTGTATTAGCTTGATAACTTTGAGAGAATACTCTTCAAACGTTGCCCAAATAAATTAAGTAGCTGTTTTCCCATAAGTATGTGTTTTTGTGTATCTCTATCCAGTTACTAAATGTCTCTGAAAGATCATCAAAGTTTTCCGTTCGGATAAGCTACAGTCGATTTGGCAAAAGGTTGGCATACAATTACACTTCCCTAATCCGTTTATTGTTCCGTTTTCGTCATAGTCTTGAGGCTCAGCGCGGAGGGTGTCCATCAAATGGGCACAAAACCAGACCCAACTTTTCTAGAGTACAATTTTGCGTAGAATACGATGCCAAGTGGTAATCAGTCCGCCGTTGGGGCGTTTTCGAGATATTCGGGGTCAAAGGTCAAATGGGTTCATTTGCACTGAAAGTGAATGCGCAGTCATTCTTGTATCATAAAAATAAGCTGAAAATGATCGAAAGTAATCATACTTTCAATAAAAATGTAAATTTGCTAATTTCACCTTTGTTCTTTGAGACCCCGGAGGTCAAAAGGTCACTTTTTCTGTTTTACCACTAGGAAGATTTAAAGTAATAAATGTCAGCGTAAAATATAATAACTAAGCGAAACCTCTTCTACTTAATAATAGAAGCATTTGAAATTTATCTTTAGGTGGTCTTAGCATCGAACTTTTACTTTGGAACGTCGAAAATGTTCTTGCATAACAGAACCAAAGACTTCGGAACCTGTTTCAAAAATACGTAAAAACTGTTAAATCAAAATCTCTCCGAATTAGTTTTACAATCGGGGATTCGAAACCACGACAGTTGACCCAATGACAGGCCTTATGATACAGCACGCATGTGCTAACCATTCGACCATCCAACCCCCCACATCAAATAGACAGCGAGCCAACGACAGCGCGTGTAAAGACGGATATACGAAAATGCATGACAATATAAATATGAATGAAAATATGGGTTACATAATAACATAATTAAAAATGGTCATTTGAATTAAATAATTATTAATTACTAACGGAAAACAAGTCGTTAAAACTGAGGACGTGGGTCGGGCAATGAACATGCACTTCAGATTATCACATTATTATTATTATTATTATGTAAGGTGAACGAGCTTTCGCGACAACATTTACATAACCTGTTAATAGGTTTGTCTTCAATATGCTGACATTGCGATTTCTTGTAGCACATGGCCGATCACGCCTCACACCAGTATGATACAACGTTTTAGAAATATTCCCCCGATGGCTTGTATTGTTACCCTTATTTTATTGTTACTTTGTTTTTATACGCCCACACTGTCTAGATTATTGCCCCTGATTGTACAAAAAATCCCGTTTGTTTTTAGCTTGTTCTCTATCCATCTTTTGCCAAATGTGGGCGTATCCTGCCTGGCAGCTGCTGGTTAATAAAGAATTTATTACTACAAGTATAGCGCAGCAGACGATTGCGACTGGCCCTGCGTAACTATTTATTTATGGTGCGGTTCTCCTACACTTACTAATAGACGTGATTAACAGGCTATTTCGTCAAACTATCGCGTTTGATTTGCATACTTAAACGAAATTATCTTCGTAGATATATTGAAACGCGTAAGTAATAATATACTTACCTTTTATATATGACAATCAATAGGCATTCCGATTTACCTGTTTTATCGTATGTTAACACCTATGTAAAAATGATTGAAGAGAATTGCAGATCCCTAAACTTGAAGAAAATAAATTCCCAAACATGCTTTATATTGAATGGGTATGAGGGTTCGTGATGTTTATAAACTAACTTGTACGGGTTCATGCCGCGCATGGATGTATTCCTAGCTGTTTCCAACTGTACTACCAGTATATTTGAAATCCTCAAGATAATACCATCCACATTTTATAAAAAATTAAGATACGTCTCCACCTCCAAAGATAGAATGGAACATTCCGCTTTCTATTTTGGACCTTCTCCCTATACTTCGTCGTGTTCAAGCATGTCAAGAAAAAAAACACCAATATTATTTATATAGCAGAGAGGGAAGCGACTAATCTTCCCGTACATGAAAACTGTCATATGGTCAATTTCGTCATCAAACAAAGGTAATAAAACAGGTACAACGGAATGCCTATAGACTTCTATATTAGAAAGATACTATCTATACGAAACATAATCTGTTTATTTTTATTACCAATAATAAGGTGATGCTGGATCTGATCTCTCCAAACTCAGTACCGAATACTTTGAGTGGAGAATGTCTGTGCTGCCGGAATCGTCCACTAGGCGTGGTTATCATAAATACAATGATATCCTGGAATCGTTCACTTTGGCTGGTTATAACGAATCTAAGGTAAGTAAAAGTAGTTGAAGGGTACGGGCACTGGATTTGATTTTAATCAAGGGATTTTCCCAAAAAATTGTGTTGAAACAACACAAGGGGATCACGTGGCTTAGTGGGTAAGACGCTGGCTCGCTAGTCTGGAGGTCGGGTGTTCGATCCTTGCATTGGCCGAGAAAGTTCATCCAGATTTCCCGGCGTGGTTCTCTCTTGTCAGTGAGGACAGCTGTCTAGTCCTTCGGCTGATACGAAAAACCGAGGTCCCGTGTATACATTGGAATTCGATATAAGAGTAGGCGATAATGCCGCTGCCCGGACAAAATTTCCCTCGTAGCTCACTGTATGGCGTATGTCCGTCTTCATTAGCCCAGTATAGGAGCAGAACAGTAGGACGTTAAACCCCATTTCATTTCATTTCATTTGAAACAACACAAACTTGTTTTGAAACAACACAAACTTGTGTTAAATGTTGAAACAACACAAACTTGTGTTAAATGTTTAAACAACACAAAACGTGTGTTAAAATTTATAAAACAACACAAACTTGTGTGAAAATCTACGCATAACTGGTGTTAAAATTTATGAAACTTTTGTTGATTCATACAAACATGTGTATAACCACCAACATTTAAGCAATTTATATCCAGTATAGCAGCCTTTACCATACATACCCTCTTTTGTTCTGGTTTAACTGTAATGTTTGGTAAATGACATGACAACAATTTTGTTTGTTAAATTATTATTTATTCATAAAATGATTATTTATTCACAAAATTATATGAACAATTAAATTAATGCCAAATCAAAAATAAACCTGACATTCTGATGGGTAATAAAATCAAAGTAAATCCAAAACTAATAAAATTGTGATATATAATGACCCCCCCCCCCCCTCCAAAAAATAAATAAATAAATAAACAAATCATAAAAGAAACATGCACTGAGACATTTGGAATATTAATAAACAAAGTTTATGCCAATACTAATAAAATTGTGTTATTATAATATAACATATAATATAATATTTCATTTCATAAGCAAGGGAAAGTTAACTTAATATACCTCAATGTTTTTTTTGTAATTCTTTGTATATTCGATCTGCATTTGGTTTGAGATAATGCCTATTTAATACTTTATGATCCCCGACCAAATTCTCAGACTATCGCCATTGAGGAGACCACTGTCAAGATTGGTCGCATTATTTCTGTTACGTCTTTTTTGTATTCCTGATTGTTTTCAAATTTGAGTGAAGTCTGTGTCACTACAGGCCCGGGACTGTACAGCTCAGTGGACGCTTACGGCTGCCCCCCCCCCCCGATCCATTCACTTGATTTGATATTTGTTTATTTGGCCCAATGTCTATTTATTGTCTTGTCCGCAGGTTTATCTTGTAGATTTTTGTTTGTGTGTAGTGCGGTCCTCCTGTACTTAATATTATAGGTCACTTTACAGTCTATATTTTACATAAATTTCTGGTGAGAATTAAAATACAATTGTGTTTGGGAAGAATATTTAAAATTAAAAACAAAAATAAAATATTTAAATAACAGGTCAAATGGAACAGATAACTTTTAGCTTTTACAATCACTACATTCTTTTTCAAAATTATAAAATAATTTGATGGCTAAATATTCAAAAGGTACATAGTTGAGTTCTCTTGTTGTTGTTATCATACATCAAATGCTCTCTAGTCTGAAAAAAATATTATACATTGTAGTAGGCAATAAATAATGAAACCATAGAGAAACTTCCACAAACTGATTCTAATTCTATCATTTATTAACTGAAGTAATATTACACAGAGGTTGAACAGAGTGTGTGGGAAAAATATCTGCTTATTTGATTAGATTTTTTTTTTATGTTTTTTTTTATTTTTATTTTTTTTTTAACAGAAATTAGATAACATTGCAACTAACACAAAAGTGTAAAAAATTATTTTCAGTCTGTGCCCGGGTTTATGTCTACTCTTGCCCAAATGTTTATAAAAAAACAAGCGGCTGCCAGGCAGGATACGCCCACATTTTCGAGAGATGGATAGAGAACATGATAAAAAGAAAGTGATTTCTCGTAATCAGGGACCATAATTCAGAAAGTTACGTTCCGACATGCGCGAATATTGAAAGGAACCGAGATCTTTGGGTTATAAACTTACATTTCAAGTTTCATCAAAATAGGATTAAAATTGTGACCTCTATAGGGTCCACAACCTTGATATACCATATTTTTACGCTATTCGAGAACGAAGGGCGGTCATTTTGTCTGTCAGTTTGGGGCCGATTCTCACGAAATTCGAACCCAACCGTCCTTAGGGTGTAACGGTGTTATAATAATACGTTTTTTTAAATCGGATAAAAATCATGACCTCTATAGGGTCCACAAGCTAAAAACGCGATTTTTCGTACAATCAGGGGCCATAATTCAGGAAGTTACTTTCCGATATGCGCGAATATCGAAAGGAACCACGATCTTTGGGTTATAAACTTACATTTCAAGTTTCAACAAAATCGGATAAAAATTGTGACCTCTATAGAGTCCACAACCTTGATATACCATATTTTTACGCTATTTGAGAACGAAGGGCGGCCATTTTGTCTGTCAGTTTTGGGCCGATTTTCACAAAATTCGAACTCAGTCGTCCTTAGGGTGTAACGGTGATATAATAATACGGATTTTTAAATCGGATAAAAAAGCAATTTTTCGTACAATCAGGGGTCATAATTCACGAAGTTACGGTCCGATATGCGCGAATATCGCAAGGAACCGAGATCGTTTGGTTATAATCATAATTTCAAGCTTCGAAAAAATCGGATAAAAATTGTGACCTCTACAGTGTTCACAAGCTAAAAACGTGATTTTCGTACAATCAGGGGCCATAATCCATGAAGTTACAGTCTGATACATGCCAATATCGAAAGGAACCGAGATCTTAGGGTGATAAACCTATAGCAAGGCTGACACTTGCACGATTCCGTGGCACGCGTGAAGTGTGCGTAAACCCGTCGTGATTGCGTGCCATGTCGGGACGAGAATTTTGAAATGTTCGAAATTTTGGTCACGACAAAATTTAGCGACCGGGTCGTGAACTATGCGCAAACTGTTCGTGAACTCGTCGGGACGATGCGGGAGGACGAGTGACAGTGCGCGCCATGCCACGAACTGCCACGAATAGTTCACGACTAGTTCACGAACAGTTCACGACTACTGCGGCACGACACCGTCCGAATTGCGCAAACTCGTCGTGCCAATGCGGGAAGTGCGTAAACAATGCGCAAACTATGCGTGAACTCGTCGTGTCAACGTGGACACTGATGGGCACGCATTCGTGAACTAGTCGTGAACTATGCGTGAACTAGTCGTGAACAGTGCGGGAGTCTCCCAGTTCGTGTCCCAAAATGGGCACGACTTGCCACGACAAAATCGTGGCCAAAAGTAGTGCAAGTGTCAGCCTGGCTTATATTTCAAGTTTCATTGAAATCGGATAAAAATTGTGACCTGTAGACTGTTCACAAACAATTGTGGCCGGACGGACGGACAGGGGCGACGACAATATACGTCCACATGAAAATGTGGGCGTATAAAAATCATGAAACAAGAATCCAGATGGCCGCCAATCGGGTCTACTCCGCCAATCAATCCGCCCTCTCTAGGTATAATTTCAAAACAGATTCTTACCCGCTGGTCGGATCAAGTCGAGCCGTTTCTCGTTTATTGTGATTCTGGAATATGAGTATTATTTGTTTTATAAATATTTACAAACCTGCAGTATTGTATTCTCTGTCTGTGACCATTATGTTTGTCAATCTTATCACTGCTCAAAAATTATTTCAGCACGGTGTTAATGGTACGTAGATTTTATCAACCAATTACATTACCAATTTTCTTATCAACGCATTTGGAGTGAATTGTTAAAATCACATCAAGCATGCTCACCAGGTCTATTATGTATTCCTTTAAAGGCTCAATACCACTCTTGTTGTAACTGAATAATATGTCCCAATCTTTATTTTGGTCAACAAATTGTACTATTTTACAATATTCCAATTAATTGGTGATATAAATTTCATCTTAACACACCTAATTTAAAACATTGGAAAAATTCAACTAAATGATTTGAAAAGCCTGACGTAAAGCTTTTCAAATATTTAAAAATATTTTTGAACCCTCGGGACAAGTAAAATAGGATTTAATGGATAATTTACACAACAGGTAAGACACTAGCACATCTAGTACTTGGAATAAGGCTATTTTTTATTTTCTGGAGCTAGCAAGAGTGTTATTGTCCCTTTAATCTACCAGTTTATTGGGCCAATAAAATAATCAAAAACTTTATTTTAACTACAGATATCTAAACACCAATTAGCATTCAAGTCTGTCTGACTTGGGTAAAAAAAAAATACTTTTCTTATACTTGTGGACCCCCGAATTAAGACTTTGTATGGAGTTCAATTTTTACAAAATCAAAATATTTATTGACGACCTACATAATACTTGTGTTAAGTATATGAAAACAAACACAAGATTTTATAAATCTACACAAGTTTGTGTTAATGCATTAAAAAGAACACAAGTTTGTGTTAATGCAATGCAAAACAACACAAGTTTGTGTAGAATAATTTCACACAAGTACTTGTGTTGAGATCCAACCCAAGGTTTTTTTCAGTGAGTGAACTAAGAATAGAATAAATATAATAGATTCTGATGTGCAAAACATGATGATATGTGGTTGAATATTTTATAGACATAAATAATAAAACCTGTTTCTATATATTTTTAGGTTAGGGCGGATGAATATTTTGCCAGGTTGAAATCTATACCACGTGACGAATTAAGTCGTTCTGATAGTCTGAATTATGATATATTGGAGAACATGTTATCAACGTATATAAGTGGATATGAATGGCGGCTGTAAGTCTAGTCATGTATTCTTAGAAATCAAGCGTCAATGCTCATTTCCTTAAAAGTGTTCATTAGACAGTTATTTATACGCTTAAAACACACAACAGCTCGATCTTCGTTGGATATAAATGAAATAATATTCAAACGCGGCATAACGACAATTGTAGAGAAGAAATGATTGTGCCACGAAATCAACAGAAATTGATTGAAATTTTAGATACGTCGATTTAAATGATTTGTTTTTAGAACAATGTATGACTAACATCTGAGTGTATGTCCTGAAAATCTATATTTGCGTTTTAGTCTGGAATATTGTGCCTTTCGTAGCATTAGACCTAAAGGTAAAGTCAGTAGAATGCCCCCAACAGTGCTTCTACATGCACCGTTCTTTAATTGGTCTGTTAAAACAACAATTTCTTGTGAATTTTGTATTCAGTCGGTCAGTTAAACGACAAGCATGTCTAAGATATGGACCAACAACGTAAACCCATATTAGACGACGTACGTTGGTATCTGTGTATAACGACATCGGCCAATGAGATGTGGGTAGGCGACTCTATTATTATTACGTCCCATGTTTTCGGATGTTGCTTTAAATACAGTTAAGCCACATCCAGATGATCATACATTTGTTCAAAACATGGCAATAATATAATATGATAACATTATCGAACTGAATTACAGGTATAACAATATTAACACACTGAATTTACTGGAAGGGCCGCAAATTGCGCCGTCAGATTTTACAAGTTTCTTTCCTTTCAATACTATTGGTGACTATGAGAATTACTTGGCGCGACTCACAAGACTGCCAAATCAGGTATTATGAATTACTTCCTTTTATTATTCTTTGATACCCCATGAGAGAGAGAGAGTGAGAGTGAGAGAGAGAGGGGGGGGGGTACTCAATACTAACTAGGTCATTTCAAGTTACTAAACAGTAACTTGGTCATTCCATATGCCTTCAAAGTCCATCACACGAAAACACTCTTTAAAATATTACATTTAAAATAAAACCTAATTATTCCTGTGATCCAGTTGAAGTGTTTCAGTTTCAAGACCTAGATAAATTGCGTTGGACACTTGATATAAGTAAAATATATTAATAAAATAAAACCAAGTACGAACAATCCAAACCATTAGACAAAATTCGAAGTCCTAAAAAAAAGGCATAGGCAAAATAGTGTAATCAGCAAATGGACTGTTCACCGTGTACAAAAAACAGGTAACAGGTGTCCGGTAGAGTAAGCTTGCCCATATGCCTACTTGAAGTGTTGTAGTCTTATAACGTACGTAAAGTGTTGTAGTCCTATGTACAGGGTAAAGTGTCGAAAAGGACGCTAAACTCGATATATCAATTATTATTTTAAAAAACGAGAACTGACGATAAACTGTAAAGACATTGCCAGTTTTTGGTTAAGGGACACCGTGTTGAAAAATCTGACATTCTTTCATCGAAGAAAACGCTTTTACGAGAGTAGCTGTAATTTCTGAATACATTGACCTACAAAGGGTGTATTAAACGCAAATCCCTTACTTTGAAAAAACAGTAAATGTTAAAATAGAACTAGATATTAACCATGTTTTCCTTTCATTTATTAAGATTGATGAAAGAATCTCGTTGTTTAGAGAAGCTGTTCGACTTGGAACAGTTTACAACAATGTATCTGTGGTAAGCATACAGTTTTCATTTGACCATTTTTATTTCGTTTCCAGTTTATCCCAATTTATTCATTTTTATGTTAATTTATTGCATTTGTTGTGATTTATTTCAATTCATTGCTTTTATGAAAAAGATGCCTCATTAATGCTCTTATTTTTCATATTATTTATTTAATTTTGATGTTATTTTATGTTTATATTATTTAGTTAATTTTAGCGTTCCTTTTCTAGAATTTAGTAATAGATCAAATTGAAAATGTGATATCTGCATGTCCACTGTCGAATTATTCTGACAACTGTGGATTTTATAAGCCATTTACACAAGATTTGGACAACATACACACAACTAACGCGACGAGGTGAGAGTTTTCATGTCTATAAATACATTATAAAAAAATAATGAAAATTAAGCAGAATCGAAACAGTGGTCTAAACATGAAGACTAATAAACAAATTTAGTAACGGCAGCAAGTGAACTCATCACACAGAACAATGGCATAATGAAAAGTCATTCCAGTTTAAATGACTATTTCCAAAATAGTTATTAATATATTTTAGAAAATCAATTTTAATCAATCCGAGCACAGTTCAAGAAGTCATTCAGTAAACAACATAGCCAGCACACATAAATTGTCATGGATGACTTTGTGATTCTAGAAAAGGCGTGTCTAGTGTTTCTGACTGGCAATGCTTCAATTATAACGGTGCGGAGAAAATATTTCTTTAAATTAGAATTGGGATAAGAGTAGCTCGGATACTGCCATCTGGATCAACTTGTCCATTATTTCATTTTACAGATAACCATAGACATAAACACAGACGGGTGTTTGTCGGGTCACATAATATGTCTGCCAGTGCTAGCTTTACAATTATTTTCAACAGTTTCAGAAATCCGTCTTGTATCCCATTCACAAGCTTTAGGCTCCAAACCCAGAATTTATTTTCATAAGCTTCCTTTCTTTTACATAAGCTTCCTTCCTATGCTCCAATGACCAATCATCTTAATGCGTTCAAATGATTTAAACGTAAAGCAAAATAACAAGATGATTACTCCGAGATATTCTGAATGACAATCATGTTATGAACCGTCCATACAACTCCATAAAGAATTTCGTCATGTATCGCGTTCACACGTTCTTAATTAAATCGGAAAGATGAACTCTGCTTTTTAATGCGTTCGACAATAACGTCCAGCGTATCTACAGAAGAACTAGTGGATGAGATGTGACAACACAATATGTTAACATTTAATATGGGGCTAGAAAATGACCCAGGTTAAAAATGGTAGCGGTAAAATGTGGAACAGACATTAACTACTGTTTAATTTATTCCGTAATGTTAACCAATACTAGTGTTTGATTTTCTTATAGAACCACACTACGATCACGTGGTGTTACAGCTGTTAATCTTTTGATGGACAAATTTCAGAATTTGACGATCTTTCTACAAACAGTAAGTTTATTATTTTACTGTCTTCAGTCTAACTTCGATTGCTAGCATTACAAAATCGATCCAAGTAATAAAATTAGTACATCCTTGATTATAAAGTAAAATTTCCACAAGAAAACTACAAGTACACGGCGATAAAAGGACAATACGATAGATGCATAATCACGGTTTCAACAAACGGAAGTGACAAACTCAAAAGGAAAACACAAGTTATCCTTCTATATAATTGACTGAAATGACGAGTGATAACAGATACACGGACGAATTTCTGCTCATTAAATATCTTTTCGAAGACCAAACGTTGTTATATGAGACCTCGAGAGGATATCTGACAATTCAAAGCAGAAATTGACTGTCACTAGAAAAGAGAAAATACAAAAAATAGAAAAATATCAGTGCATTACCATGATTTTATTAAGTACAGAATGAACAAAAAACAAGTGAATGTATAGACTATTCCTTATTTGTCAATGCAGTGAATCCTAACGTAGATACAAAATAATTTAATTTGCCACTGTCTTCCTTTAATATATATATTAGGAATACATGCCGGCTACAAGACAAGGTTACGGGGTAGCAAATCTACATAAAGGGAGAGAATTCTACCAAGCATGCTTAAAATGGCATCTATCCCTGGATCTTACACCGGAAGAAGTTCATCAAAAGGGGTTGGATGAGGTGAAGAGAATATCAGAGGAGATGAAAAAGGTAACGATTTGTTAATCTCTCTTTGAATAATTTTAAAGGCAGAAATTTGAATAATTTTAAAAGCGGAACGTGTTGGCCACTAAATCACTTAAGACATATCTTTTTGTGACAAATATCAACCAAAAGACACCTTTCGTCATTGGTATTGACGATAGGGGATCTGTACATATTGCCTCATCTACTGAAATCTGTTGCCAGTACACTAACGAGAACATATCTCCCAATATCTCACATTTTTTATTTTCCGGTTACACATACATTATGCAAGAGCAAAATCTGCCCATTGCAGGTCTTTCTTTAGGTCTTAAATGTTATATAAACTATTTATTAGACATTAATTAACTTATCCAAACCATAATCTACTCTTGATGTCATCTTATGTGTCGGATTTTTCCTGTTTTCAATCCGATCTGCTGCTCAACGCTCATTGATGATTAAATTTCAAAAGTCAATATCTCGGTTCAGAGTGGAGCAATTGGACTAAAATTTTCAACATATTCTGTTTACGTTATCTATTTTGTGCCTATTATAGCGAAAACAGTCAACTTTCTTTATCTAATCTGCCATAATGCCTCTTTAATTGAAACGAAAAGGGCATGGTATGACCAAAGAGTATAAATAGGTTCGTAGATCGTTATATTACAATTAATCAGCAGTGAATGTTTTTCACCCAGATTAGATATTAAACTTTGTTGACGTTATCATTTCGATTTACAGATTATGACCAAGAATGGTTTTCAAGGATCAATATCAGAATATTTTGCAATGTTGAAGAATGACTCAGCTATGTTCTACAATAGTTCGGTAAACTACATAATATATTTTAAGATAAAGATGTCATTGTAATAATATAGATTATATAGATTTGTCTCTTCCTCTTTGCGCAAACCTTTTGTTCTTACGTGGCTCTTAAGGCTTCTTAACGGCTCGATGCGTCATTAGCGCCACTGAAATCCTATGATGAAATTTCATCGATCTATGCTGCTCGAGTGTAACAAGATGCGAGAATCCTGGTGGACCTAGTTTAAATCAAATTGAATCCACGCCGGGAGATTATCTAGCGTTGACATTTTGATTTTGTTTTCTTAATTAAATGTTAAAGAGTGTAAAGCTCTGCCTCAATATTATTCAGAATTATTCGTCAATTCCAATTAGTAGTTATCTTACCGTAAAAATATGGACTTCTGGGCCCTTATTCACGAAAACTTAAACCAAGATACAATCGAAATTTTAAGAAATACTGCAATTCGATTGGCTGACCAATATGCAAATTGGATATATGCAAATTGATTTTACTGGTCAGCCAATCGAATTGCAGTATTTCTTAAAATTTCGGTTATATCTTAGTTTAAGTTTTCGTGAATAAGGGCCCTGATATCCAATATTTAAGACACAGTGAACAACCAGTACTCACCCGCGTCTACTCTATACTCTCGAGTGCAATTTGCAATGAGGTGCCATAATGAACGTCAAAGGTTAGTGAAATGACAAACCGTACTTTCTATGTAGACTGGACTAACCTGGCGCGAGCGAATGCCATTCAATTTGGACTGCTCACTTACTTCGACAAAAAAATTGATTAAAATTACGATAAAGTTTTAAAAATTAAACGTAAATCAGTCTATAATGTTTTCATTTAACAATAAACTACTTGAATTACATATTAATTGCAGGAAGCCATGTTGGATGGATATAGAGATCTTCTTGATAATCGTGTTGACCCACATCTGGCTAAATTATTCAATAATTTACCTGGTTTACCTATTGTGTAAGGTTTATCATTATGATATAACTAACCTATTTAAATTTTATACGACCACATTTCCATGTGGACGTATATTGTCGTCGCCCCTGTCCGACCGGACGTACGTCGGTCCGCCCGTCCATCCGTCCATATTGGCATATATTATATCGGACCGTTAGGTTCCTGTGGCGATCATACAAACTTTCTCTTCAGTATTAACCCTTTCGGGCCCTATGGGACTCTCGTGTCCCATCATATAGTCAATACAATGTTGCAATGCATATGTGTATTACGGTCAGTATTTCATTATAGGTCGGTTTTAGGTACGTTTAAGGTCGGGTTGAAGAAGTGCAGTCTTAGTGCAAAGAAATTTGTAGAGTGGCATTTCATTGTCAAATCTTTGTGCATATTTGAAGACATCGAATCTCACCCTCAGAGTAAATGTGTTACATATTTTAAAGTATTATTATGCTGTAGTTAATCAAAAATTGTTATCTAGATTTTCATGGTGAGGTAGCACATTAACTGCACATTTCTATTTCATGTTAAAATTGTTTACGCCTTTTGTTGTATTTAACTAGGGATTATTGTTTCAAATTGTTGAGAAAATATAGATTTCTTTGTTTGAATTGTCTTTTTAGTGTTGGCGGATTAAAGTTATGATAATAATACAGATTTCAAGAATAATTTAACCTCTTTATCTTTTTCGTATTGAAAATAACTTAACCCTCTACCGTCAGTCGGGACGTTCAACTCCCACCCCCATCACCTTCAGCAAAAATTGTAAAACTTAAAAATAATTTTGTTGATAGTCTAACCAAACCCAAATTATCTTATTAAATATCATAAAACAAGAAATTATTTTAAACTTTAACCACTTGGGCCTGGATAATGCAATGATCAATAATTGTCAATTTTAATACTGTACTAAATACGATATATATAGTACAATAGTACGATCAAAAACACGCACTTTCTCTCGTATATACATACAAGATATATATATTTTGAAAATGTTTTTTTAGAGTCAAAGCGGCCACGTCAGATGGACCAGCAGGCTACTACTCCCCCGGTTCCAAGGACGGATCTATACCAGGAATCTTCTGGGCAAACGTCATACGACCAGCAGAATAGTAAGCATACAATAAATGCAGTTGTTATTTTCGTGTTTTATCCTATAAATTAAGCATTTTTTTTAACTCTTAAGAGGTCTATAGTCATAAAATAAGAAAATTACAGATTTATATCAAATTGTTAATAATGTGACAATGTGGCGATAAAGTTCAATTTGTATTTCTGTAAACCAATTAAAAAAAAAACACTTCTATTTCTATTCTTTTCAGTCAAAAGTTTTCTAGTTTACCTCACATTGGCAATAAAGTGAAAATGTCGAGAATTGGGGATAACATTTAATTTATATTCATATAACCCTTCAAATAAAACTTCTGTTCTTTTCAGTGCAAAATTTTCTATGCTACCCCTAACGATGCATGAAGCTAATCCTGGTCACCATTTACAGGTCAGGCGAGTTAATAATAATAATTAACGTTAAATTAAACATATCTAACCACATTTAATCATCACTCAATTTCTTAACAAATGACATCTATTTTAGTCGCCAGCTTGATCCTCCCCAAAACGAGTACATTCGGGACGTTGCTTATATAAACTTAAAAGCTGTAATTTGATATTCAAGTGCAGTGGTCATTATCCGTTTTATCCATATATAAATGGAATAAATAATCCCACGAGGTCCCATCGCCATCAGTACATACAGAAGAGTATATAGATTTTCTTACTGATTAAAAATTCGTTCAGTTTTATTGTTTATCTTGTACGACTAGCATTCTGTCATAGTTGCTTGAGAAGGCGTTCAAATTGGGCCAGTGGCTGACATCGAGTATCGTGTCACCTTTGCTCCATCGAAAAGAATTTTAACATTTTAGAGAAAAAATATGTAAATTGTTGCTTTCTCGTTCTATAAACTGAGAGTTCTTTGAGAATTACCCCGCAGTATTGATGAAATCCGTTTTTAAACTTCGCGCTCTATATCTCCGCCCAATCAAACAAAAAGGTGTGTGTGCTGCGGTTCATTGTGACCCGATTCGACCAATTATAGGCTGTATAAGTTAAAAATGGCGGCCTACACGAAGAAGAATGAAAACATAGACAGGACCAAGCAAAAACTAGCAAAACAAATTGAATTGATTTCAGCGGAAGGGTCACAAGCTATTACCGAAGTCAGATAGGACAAATTTAGAACTTGGACCGCAGAATCTGGGATATAAGACGGAGTTAAAAAGTTATGACTTAATTTGCTGAAACCCATACTATAGTCAAGATTTGTTGTCCGACGAATTTGAAAATATCAGAATCGGGGATAAAGAGTTTTACCCGCTGTGTCATCGACGATTTGCTGACAAAACAGGAAAGATACGAAAAGATTTCATGAAATGCTTACAGTTGGAAAGACCAGAAGCCATTTTCTAGGGTAAGTTAACTGATACTGACACATCACATGTTGTTTGAGGAACTGAATCCAACAAGAACTGTATATCATCATTAATGTCATTTTGTAATGGGTGGGACATAAAAGACACGAACTCGTTTATTGAATGAATGAGAAAGGCTAACTCATAAGACAGTTTGGCAATGTGGCTGCAAGATTTAGAGAACAAGACAGTTTTCTACTTTGAACTGTGATTATACTGACATTGATGATATTTTGTTTAAAAAATTCCTCATATTATAGTTTCACATTTTTTTGTACACTACATGGATGTGTGGTATTAAATATTGTCTATTCTTGTAAACATCTATGTTGTTTATTAAAATAACCACCCTCTCTTCAGCAGTGTGTATAAAATAGATTGGAATAATAAAAAGAAATGAACTGAGTGTAATACATCTAACTCTAAGCCTGGACCAAGCCTAACCCTTACCCTGATTCAAACGCACAATCCACATACAACGTCTTAACATACTAAGCAGCAAAAGAAACATTAGGTTGGTATGTTACTCTGAATAGACGCATTGCATAAAACTAGCGAAATGTTTTATTGTATATTTGTGACCACATCTCCAACTTTACCTGAGCAATAAGGCTCCTTCCCAAACACAGAATTGAACCCAGGAAATGTTCTCAAAAACGCAACCTGACTTCTGGGATGGTAATGTGTTCTCCATGATTTTCATGTAACTTATGCAGCTGTACATGCTGTTCACAGGAACCAGCCCTATAAAATGCACCCCCATACCTGTTTGAATCATTCATACTAAAACGTCAGCAGCATGTCACTACTCACGACATCTCAGAAGAACCAGGCGCTTGGGAAACCCGACGCTGGCCACACTGCCCAAGCCGTTGCCAATCAACTCCAGGTCAATGTTCGGACCATCTACAGACTTCAGCAACGCTTTCGGGCCACCAACACCACGGAAGATCGCCCCCGAACTAGTAGACCAAGGGTTACGACAAGACGGCGACAAGACCTAACAGTACCGATACAGTGCGCCTACGTCTCACTAGAGAGAACATCTACTGCCGTAGACCTTACCGTGGACCCATCCTCACCCCTCGCCATCGACGTGAACGTCTACAGTTTGCCCAACAACACCATAACTGGCGACACAGGCAATGGAGAACTGTTCTGTTCACAAATGAGAGTCGGCATTGCGTATCAACTGCAGATGGCAGGACAGAATATGGCGTCGGCGTGGCCAGCGTTATTTTGACCATTGTGTCATGGAACGAGACTCATAGGAGGTTCAAGCATAATAGTTTGGGGTGGAATCGGCCTAAACCAGAGAGTGGGACATGTGATGTTCCAAAATCTCGTTCCAGGGAGAGGAGGCGGCATCACAGCTCTCAGACCCCACGTCATGCCACATTTCGCACGTCATCGAAACAACGTTTTCCAGCATTACTCGGAACTTCCTCGAGAGTTACTGTGGACTTTCTACAGCAGAACGGTGTCAACTTTATGCACTGGCCAGTCCTTAATCCGAACTTAAACACGATTCAACATCTTTGGGATCGAGACCAAACACAGCCGATGATTGCGCCAGGCTTTTCTGAGAGTGTGGTTCCAGGTGCCAATGGCGTCAATCAATCGTCTGATCCACTCCATGTACAGACGCTACGCTGCTGTTATTGACACTCGCGGTGGGCACACCAAACACTGATGTATAGACTGTGTGCAGACTCTAAACCTTCTTGTAATGTCTTAGAATTGGGATAAACTAATCGCTAATGTGTAAACGTACTGTTCAGAAAAAATTGCTTTGATAAATTTAGTAAGTCGTTTTCTAGAATGGTTTGATTAAAGTGCCTCTCAGATTTTGAAATCGTACTGACGTTTTTGTTGCTGTTTAGTATGTGCAGGACCGTCTCCAATCTAGTGTTCTCCTCATTTAGGAGATAAACACTCCTGTTTTCGTATTTGGAGGGAGTTTATTGTCCATTAAATTATGCTTTTCCTTAGGTCCATTCTCGGCCAACATTGGGTGGGATCGAACCTGGGACCTTCTGGTTAGTGAGGCAGCACCTTGCTCATTGAACCACCGTAGCTCTTAATATCTGTATCGACCAGGCTAATGAAGACATACATGCGTATGAAAGTCGATAGGTACTCTTTAGCCCCCTCTTGCCTTTACGTGAAAAGCCGAGAAGCTGCGATAAATGGTCCTAAACTCGCGTTGTCGTGGCATCACTTCCCTATGAGTTCAGCGCAAATGCGGGAAATAATCAGTAAAAAAAACCCACTTACAGAAACAATACGTGTAATTATATGGTTTCAGTTACAGGCCTAAATCACGCGAACGTTTTGGCTAATTAAATTGTATGCAAGGTATTGGTATTGTCGTAAGCTAATTTTTGTTGGATTGGAATATATTATGGGGGGTATATTATTATAATACATGTATATAACTATTATTACAGGGGCGGATCCAGAGGGGGGGGGGGGTCGACCCCCACCCCCCGCTCAGCTACATAATTATTTTGTAAATCAACACTTTTTATGAGAAAAGTTTCTCGGCCGTGTGCTTTATCCTTTATCGTCAGATGTGGGACAGGATGATGGCCACTCAAAGCACGAGATAATGATATAGACATTATGTGATATCACAATTAATGCTTTGCATCCATGAAATTGAATCACAATGTCATTGTATTAATTCATAATAAAAATTGACGTCAAACGAGTTGTTGAATGTCTCTGTTTAAATGCTCAATGTGTATGTATATACGCCAAAATGACGATAGAGAACATGCGGGAGGGGTTGGGGAGATACATTGTCTCAGGAACCTGGCAAACCCCCTCCTGGATCCGCCCCTGTATAAGATTGGAGTATATAATTCGCGGGGAGGGGGTGGGGGTATTTTATCAAGAAATCTAGTTATTTTTACGATATATAATAGTATAGCATGAATACAGTCTATCATGTTTAGTAAATTGGGGTATATCGTTATTATGGAAGTATATTTTTTAGAATACATTATAGTAAAGCATGTTAAAAGATTGGAGTATCTCGTTCTTGGGGTATATTATTATAATATTTAATAGTTAAGAATGAATGTAGGAATATATAATTTTTATTATACTGGGGTGGAGTATATCATTCTGGGAGTACATTATTATAGTATATAATAGTAATTCATGAATACAAGATAATTATGCGGTTTATTAGATTGGGGTATATCTTAAGGGGGTATATGGAAGTATATAATACAATATATAATTAAGCAGTTTGGTTTTATGAATAGTAATATGTATCATATTTACTTACAGATAAGTTACAACTTGTTGACAGAAACACCGGATTTTAGAAGTAAAATGGAATACTCCCACATGTTCAGTGTACCGTATGCTTTTCCATCATACACAGCATTCGTAGAGGTATGACTACTATATCATATGTCAACTGACAAACCTACGAGATATCCCCATTCTAATAATTATCTTGTGCACAGGGGTCTCCAACGGTAGGAGGAACTGGGAATTGATCCTACTCCTTGCCATATACATGTATAGAATGAAAACTGTGACAATTTTTCTTATTAAAAATACTTTTAACATTGCTTGTATAGCGTTTTGCACTTAACTGTAACATTCAGTATAGTCCGGCAGAACTATGACTGAACCTGGAAATTGTATACAAAGTTTTATTAATGATTGATTTTAGTAGCCTAAGTTATTCTCTTTCAGAATCTGCCGGGTGAACCTCTGTCACCCTTGAGCGTTTTAGAAATTCAAAATGGCGTCCAAGTCGGCTGCCATTTCAAATAATCCCCAATAACTCCTAAAGCATTTAATCTATAAAGATAATCTTGGTGTCTAACCGCGTGTTTTGGGTTAAAACACAGATCCTATTTCGTTTCGTTTTTATAGTTCAAAATTTCGTTTTACTTGTCTTTACTACACTAGGATCTGGAAGAGTTGTTAATTAACTCGTGTTCTGATTGGTGTCAGGGATAAGCCAATGAAACAGTCTGTTACGGCGAGCTTTAGGCGTGTTTTGTATGGAACTGTGGGTTATCCACTAGTAACATCAATGCTGATTGGTAATCAAATGTCTGACGTCATAGTGTTAAAAGTCGGTCTTTTGACCCCTGACGTGACCTATCGCTATAACTTGTCAGATTTTCATGTAGTGTAGCCCATCGAAAGTATATTAAAAAAATGAAACGAAATATAGATCTGTATTTTAATCAGATTGGATTTTTTTCTGGGCATCTGTTGCGCTGTTTAATAGAACACACATTACAATAACAATAACTGCAATGCAGCGTAGAAGGGTTTCACCGGTACCCTTTAATCTTTAATTGATCTCACATTTGAACAATGAACCATTTAAGACATATCCATACTTCAGCTATGACACATGGTAAAAAATAGACAACAAATAAGCTTTGATCATGTCGTATTAACATGTGAAAAAAAGAAAATTAAGAAGCGACTCAAGCTAAATTGGCGGTTTCTCGACAGTGGTTAAATTTAGAAATTGGCTTGTGGTTTCTGCGCAGTCGTAAAATATCTAGAAGAAACAATACATGAATAAAGAACAAGCACCGTAAATTCGTTTTTGTTTTGTTTTTTTTTATTTAAAAAAAATGAGCCAATACATTTAAACACATGAACTTGTAAAAATAATGTCAATAGTTGTTTATATATAAATTTTAAAGTAGACGTACGAGAAATGGTAGATTTGTAGTTTAAATTATCTTTATATTGTAGGGTTGGGCATTGTACGCTGAATCGTTAGGAGAAGAACTTGGTCTTTATAAGGATGACAATGAATTGTAAGTTGAAAAGTTCAACATAGTTATAAACAATTGAAACCAACTCATAATATCTAACTCTATGATGTCTAGTCTTGTTTTAGTAAGTGTAAGCATACTCTTCTTTATGCACAACTCCTGAGATTAATGATGTAATTTATATTTCACAGAATGGGTAGATATAGCTCTGAGATATTTCGTGCCTGTAGATTGGTTGTTGACACCGGAATTCATTATTATAAGTAAGTTTTATTGTCTGTTGAATAAAATTGTGTGTTGTTAGGGATGCACGGTAGCAAGAAGAAGGTAAATAACAACTAGAGTGTTCCTGAGATTCCACCTCAAGCCCCGTTGTATTTCGAAAAAATTGTGCACACGATAGAGACCAAAATTGTTTTGTTTTTTGAAACGTATTTTATTTTTAAACGAGATAATTAATTCTATTAAAAGAAATTATTAATTCGACTAAAGGAAATAAATAATTCGATTAAAAGGATTAATATACTACATGTATTTCGTTAAAATGAATTAATCATTTCGTTTAAAAGAGTGGAATTGTGCACTCCTTGGATGGTGAACATTTCCACTGAGGTTAAGCAGAGATGAGCACTTTGTTTTGTCGATACATAGGGGGGGTGGATGGCCGAATGGTTAGCACGTGCGCGCTTTATCATAAGGCCTGTCATTGAGTCAACTGGCGTGGTTTCGAATCCCCGGTTGTACGTGATAAGGAGTAGGGTCGCCTGTCCAACCTCGTGGGTTTTCTCACCCCGGTCGAACGGGGGCATTACAACTTTCCAGGTTAGATCGCGGAGCCTTGGCGTTTGTTTTTAATATGCTTAAAACAAACGCTGTGACTCGGCGATCATTCACGACCATGGAGACCACAGCACGATATCTGGCGTTTCCACCACGCTTTTACCGCGCCTATGGCGATCTTGACGCGCTCAGCGACCATTTTCCGTCGCCGTAGCGTCGCAGTAAGGACGCCACCCCAGTCTGACGGGGGTATAACCGTATATCAGCACCATTTGTAGTCCAAAACAACTTATTAAATAGACCCAAAAGCAGTCGCACATGCGCACTCACAATGTTCTCGGATTCACAAACATACGTGTCATTTTTTAAACGCACGGATTTGTCACCGAGAGGCACGCCCGTGTCTGAATGCGCGTTGAAATAGTTCCTGGTGCAAGTTATTAATAAGTCTCATATATTTGGGTATTCAGGCGGAGGGCATCAGCCTCGCTGATGGATTTTTCTTGTTTTGTTTTGTCCCTCCTCTGTTATAGAGGAGTACACAACATAAGAGATAATCCAGTGGAGTCCACAACACATACCCAGTCAACATCAAGGTCGCACAAACCCACTATAGAGCGTCACACAGGAAACTAATTTCGTGACCTTAAATTTACAGCTGGACAAAGGATGAAACCATAGATTACATTCTAGGGTATACATCTAAATCACGTGACGGTACATCAGTCGAGATAGATCGTTATATCACGTGGCCAGGACAAGCATGTTCATATAAAATAGGTGAATTAAAGATAAAAGAAATGAGACAGATTGCCGAGAACAGATTGGGTGGGATTTTATTTTAGTAATTTTGTAATTTATCGTTTCGTCATTTTAGTTGGACGAAAGATGATGCCATCGATTATATTTTGACATATACGGATGAGTCACGACATGGTACGTCACTTGAAGTAGATCGCTATGTCACGTGGCCTGGACAAGCTTGCGCCTACAAAATAGGCGAATTAAAGATTAAAGAAATGAGACAAGCCGCTGAGAAAAAATTAGGTAACAGTTTTGCTTAAAGGTGTGGTAGTAGTTGTAGTAGTAGTAGTAGTAGTATAATTTTCCTCAGTCTTTAGCATCACATTCAGGCATTGTTGATGATAGCTGTCTATATAACTATATCCGTACTTTTCTCCTCGAGACTAGCTGCACGTCGGTTCTGGCCACGTCGCTATTGTTATATTATGACAATTTCTACAACTACCCCTCTTACTGTGGTTCTACAGCACTATAACCGTTCTTCTATTTTTATTTCTTCAGGTGATAAATTTGACATCCGGGCTTTTCATACATCTATTATGGATAACGGAGCAGTACCTTTAGACTTGTTAGAAAGAAACGTTAATGAATGGATAGAAGAGCAGTTGGCTCAACAACCTCAAGAACCAGATTCAACCACTTGTTCTGCTCAAAAACAATTTGCCCAAATATGGCTTTTAAGCATTCTATTAACTTCTGTAGAAATCTTTTGCCGTTAATTAGTATACTTTCTTTATACAACAAAATCTCAAGCTCAATTAAAACTATACCGTGATTTCTTAATTAAACACTTTATAGGGATGAGTGCTTTATCTGCTTTCAAGGACAGGTTATTCAAAGCTTTACTCCAACACATTCGAGAAGAAACTAATAAATAATCCAAGTAAATGGAGTATGAAACGCACCCTATATTAACAGTGTCATAATAAAACACGTCATTATTACGTAAAAACCATCATTTCTGAACACTATCACTTTCGTTTTTGTTAAATTGACTGATAAATTAAAATTACTGCAAAATCTTTGAAGAATGTTTATTTTTCTTTGTAAATCTCCAATAGAATTGACAAGATACTAAAGTCATCTGCATACATTAGCATTATAATATCTTGTGCATCTTGGTTTGTGAATATTCTTTGGACATCACTAGCTTCCATTATTTGATCGAGCTGATTAACATAATAACAAAACAGCAGAGGACTGATTTTACACCCTTGTCTACAGTTTCTCTCTATTGATACTGTCAAATGCCCCGGAAAAATCAACAAATAGTGAATACATTCTGCCTCTCGGTTTTGACAAATATTTCTGGACTAATCCCTGCAACGTAAAAAGGTGATCGACTGTTGAATACTCTTTTCTATATCCCGCTTGAGCCTCGTTGTATAAACTATTTTCTTTTGGCAATTTTTTAAGTCTTATTGTTTAATATAGCACAATAAATATTACTTATACTATCAGTCAACGATATTCCCCTATAATTAACATGATCATGGGTTGATCCCCTCTTATGTAATGGCGAGATTAAAGCCTGACATCATGATTCAGGAAACGTCCCTTCATTAAGGATTAAAAAGGGGTAAATAATTCAGGACAGGATTTATACATATCTATTCCAATACTACCAGGACCCGAAACAGTTCCTGGTTACATTTGTTTAAACAATACATGTATATAACTTCATTACCTGTTATGGCAGTATTCAGTTGACAATTATAGGAAAAGTAGAGAAGATCTCGATTATATATTTCAGGAATAGGTGCTGCTTCATCTTGTGACAAAATGGGGTTTATAATGTTTTTAAAATGATTGACCCACTGAGAAGGATTGATATTGACTGAAATTTTACTTTTCGGTCTAAAACATTTGACAATTTGCCAAAATTTATTTGGATCATCAAGACTTTCGTTTAAGTTGTTGCAAAGGAATTTATTGTATCCGTGTTTCTTGATCCTACGCATTTCTTTGAAACTGTTTTTACACGTGTTGTAGGAGAAAAGATGGGCTTTGTTATTGGACGATCTAAAGTTATTCATATCATATCATATCACATCATTTCTTCGGAATATGCAAGCCATTTGACCTGTGTCCGCTTTTGTAAGGCCTCGGCCATTAGCTTCGGATACTCTAGTCAGTCATATATCCAATGTTCTAATATGTTCGATGTCAGAGTAGTTCATTATCAAACCAAAACGGTTGTTTCACGATTGAATGTTGCTTAAAGTTTGAGACGTACCTTGAACCTTATATCCTCGGCACAAAACTTTATAAATTGAATTAAGGAGCTCGGTGCAAGCTCAGTATCTATCTGTATTAAATTATAACATTCACTTCGAAAAGTATCTAGATTATTATTAACCATCGCATTAAATACTTCTCGTTTATCTGGTATCCATGAGTATTTAGTGTACGGTAACATAATAACGTCAGGTATTGATTCACATCGCTTGTAAAATCCGATATCACATGGAAGAGATCTGTAGACACAAGTACGTGGGGGTGGGGGGTGGGGTGGCCGGATGGTTAGCACATGCGTGCTGTATCATAAGGCCTGCAATTAAGTCAACTGGCGTGGTTTCGAATGGTTAGCACGTGCATGGTGTATCACAAGGCCTGTCATTGACCCATGGTGTGGTTTCCAATCCGAGATTGTACGTGACAAGGAGTAGGGTCGCCTGTCCAACCTCGTGGGTTTTCTCTGGGTCCCCCGGTTTCCTCCCACTGCTTAAGACCCCTACGCGCAAGCGAAATATTGAAATAAAATTGAAGCTTATGTCAGTCCCGAAATGACCTAGTTTATGTCAAGTGAACGTTAAAACCTATTTCTCTCTCTCTCTCTCCTATCAGTATTTTCTGGCGTGGTGATCCCCTTGTCAGTGGTGCAGGACGGAGGGCCTGACAAGGAAAGCTGTCTAGTCGTTCGGATGGGACGAAAACCGAGGACCCGTGTAGGCTACAATTGGCGAGCACGTAAATAAGACCACTTAGCAGTTTGAATTCGTTATAAGAGTAGGCCGTAGCGCCTCCGCTGTCCGGGCAAAATTCCCCTTAAAGCACAGTGCATCCCGTATGCCCGTCTACATTAGCCAAGTTATTAGCCAAGTCGGAGCAGAATAGTAGGACGTTAAACCCCATTTCATTTCCCTGTCGCCTTTTTGTTGATAACAGACGCTTGTACATTCGTTCTATCCCGGCTATTTTGATACTGCACACCTTTCAAACGCGTTGTCTTTAATGAAACTTGCGGCTATGCAAGGTAAAATCTCCTAACGACGCCCTTTTAAGAAATATTTTTTAAGAAGTTTTCCTAAACAATAAGCCTACGACCGTACCTTAATGTCAGACATAGGGGGGAGAGTCATATCAAGCTACGTCGTACAGGTGAGCTACATGACATGATGAAGATCCCAGAATAAGCTGAGGTTTGCCGAATGATGCTCGAGAAAAATAGAAATTAACAATAATTAGAAATTCAAAAATTATTCTACATAATCAAAGATTAAAAACAGAAATTATTTTACAAAATTAAAAATACAATTTGGAAATCTAAAAAACACAAAAATAGTTCGTATTTGAGCTTCTGTAATTTCGATACATTTAAATATACATGTATTCTGTTAATAGTTTTATTTCATTAAGTTAAAATCTCATCTAAAAGGGGGAAGGAATGTAGTGTCCTACAGCAGTATTGTTGATATATATTATTGAGGTCTGATATAATATGTAGACTCAGATTAGGAATTATTTGCCCATTGACTTCAATCTTAAATGGCTGTAACATCACAGACTGTAGCTTTTTGCTCAACATTCCGCTGGTTCCAATCTTTATAGGCACAATGGGGACCACATTTGGCAATCTCCTCGTCATAATTTTGTAGGGTTGACCGTTTAGATTTTTTGCTATGGGGATTTGATGTTGACTGGGGTGAAAATCTCACTTCGGACACAATGATTGCTCTGCAGAAAGACACTATACACCCCCTATCCCTCCGCTGTAAAATCATCTGTATTACCCAAAACTGCTATATATTGCAAATTTGATCCCTTTTCTCCAATTCTAGACCTTAAAGTCAACCCAAAAATGCAGGAAGAGGGGAGAAAAAAATTAAGGGAAAAATTGTCTATTTATAACTCGCACTACATGAAATAAGGGGAAATACTTACTAGTCTTAGTCCATAAGTATAAATAGAGTTATATCAATCTTATGCCAAATGGTGGCGCTTTTTCTTTTCAGCATTGTATGTCAACCATGCTTGCCTGATTATGAATATTTCTTCTTTGAAAGCTGATGTATCTCTTTCACTGTATGTGAACCCCACTACATTGGCCTAATTTTCAACCCTTTTGAAATAAAGTTATTATTATTATTATTACACTCAGCGTGCCTGTCTGTCCGTCAAGGGGGCTAAGTAGGTAAGACGCTGGCTCGATCGCTAGCCTAGAGGTCGGATGTTCTATCCCTGCATTGACCGAGAAAGTTAATCCCGATTTTCCGGCGTGGTTTCCCGTTGTCAGTGATGCAGGACATTGGGCCTGACAAGGGCATCTGTCTAGTAGTTCGGTTTTGACCAAAAATCGAGGTCCCGTGTACACATTGACGTGCACGTAAAAGATCCCCCTGGCAGTTAGAATTCGATATAAGAGTAGGACATTAAACCCCATTTTGTTTCGTTGTCCCACACACTTTTTGAGACACAACAACTCTCCTTCTAATTGAGCTAGAATGTTTAAACTTGGTGTATAGTTTCATAATGAACATTTTCCTAACCAGGGTAAGCAGAGCGATAAACAATTTGATTGATCGAGACTTTTGAACACAATAACTCTCCTTCTAAATGAGGTAAAATTTTCAAACTTAGTGTAGGTGTTTATTAGGCGATTGCCTTGACAGTGAAAATGCCTTGACACCTTGCGCATTTTCCACCAGGCCTAAGCAAAGATAAGCAATTTGATTGGTTGAATCTTTGAACACGATGACTTTGGTTCTGTTTGGTGAGAGTGATGGAACTCAGACTATAGACTCATTATATCAATGCCTTGACTAAGTTTGATGATGATGAGAATAAGCAATTTGATTGGTCAAGACTTTGGAAATGCTTTCAATTGAGGTAGAATGTTTAAACTTGGTGTAGATGTTCATTAGGTGAACGTCTTGACTGAGTTCAATGGTTAATATTTCCAGCTAAAGCTAAGCAGAGCTAAGTAATTTAATTGGTCGATTCGATGGAACAAGATAACTTTGATTCTAACATTTGGAGAGTGATGAAACTTAGTGTATAGTTTTACCACTTGGTACTTCAAAGCCTTGACAGATTTCGATCGTGAAACTTTTCTGCTTAGACTAAGTATAGATAATCAGTTTGATTGCTCGATACTTTTCAAAAAGATAAATGTGCAATTAATTAATATCTGCCATCTATTTATTTTGGGATTGTGACGAGGGAATCAGCATCACTGTTTGGCTTGTTTTGATTCTGTGATATGTATATGTTAACACTGGTTGCTTATGTTTTTAAAAGATTGCCTGATCCTTCAAATGATGTTGTGTCCCTTTATGCCCCTTCAACAATCCCCCGGCACATTGTTTATATCCGGACACCTGGATTTCAACTTACCATCCGTTTGTACATGCTTCCGATATTTCCATTTCTAAATATGTGCGAAAGGGTGGGGGGGGGCTATTCACATTTAGCCCCGCAGTCATTTGTTACTAGATCGTTAAACACATAATAATCTTCGAGCGACTCCTTTATAGAATTTGATATAATGTACGCGTCATTTAGGTATAAACTAGTTGGAATAGCGTCTATTCAATCGGGTGGGTCTAAAAACCGAAGTCCCCTTTACATAGAATTCAATGACTGTCAGGGGAGAATTTCCCTCTGTATCTCGATAAGATTCCCTCCAAACCTATGTTCCACCAATCTGGTTAAAACACAGATCCTATTTCGTTTCGTTTTTATAGTTCAAAATTTCGTTTTACTTGTCTTTACTTCACTTGGATCTGGAAGAGTTGTTATTTAACTCGTGTTCTGAATGGTGTCAAGGATAAGCCAATGAAACGGTCTGTTACGGCGAGCTTCAGGCGTGTTTTTCACGGAACTGTGGTTAATTCACTAGTAACATCAATGCTGATTGGTTAATCAAATGTCTGACGTCATAGGGTCGCTATAACTTGTCAGATTTTCATGTAGTGTAGGCCATCGAAAGTATAAAAAACGAAACGAAATATAGATCTGTATTTTAATCAGATTGATGTTCCACGAATCCTTTACAACGTCAGTTACATGACCAGTATTCCTGCGAAAAATCGTTCGAAAATATCCCCAAAACAATGACCGGTAAAGCGCTTAAAAGGTTAAAGCAGTACAGCAGTGACGGTTTTAATATCCCTTTTGCTGATAGTTACATTTCGCCCATGCAATAAAAACGTTTTATCTTATATTCACTAATATCAGATTTTAAAATCCAAACCAGCGCTCCAGTTTGCTACATGTGGTATAGTGAATGTTATCGTTCAAGAAACAGAACATGCTTATTCTTTTCAGAACACTGGACACCGTTTCTTAATACACAAAGCCAACATTATATTTTAAACGGTTATATATATAAAATTATCTATAAATGCAAATTCATTTCTATAAATAAGAATCGTACACAATAATATATTGATCAAAGAAAGGAAACAAAGAAATAATCAATCAAATTATACTGAAAGGTAAATATTGATATGTTACACATAAAAAATGACATAGTGTTAAACACAGGCTTTACAAAGGATATAATCTTTAGGGCGATATTAGAATGTGCTATCTAGCAACGCAATACCCGACCTAATATCTTCGTGTCATGTATAATTTAAAGCCTAGTCTGGTCTTTTTAAAAACAAAAAAATCAGCATTTCATAATTATAACAATGAAATACCTCTATTTCATATAATAATGTAACCCCCAAAATATAAAGCAAATCCTTCTTAGTACGGTATACGTAGCCGGGTGTTTTGTTATTCCAAATTAGCCGCAGTGTGTGATGCATGTAGTTTTGGAGAGTCATTCTGGTATCTAAAGAAGTGTTTAATTCATCACAGATTCATCTCAAACACATATTCAAAGCATATTCAAAGCATATCCGTACGTATAGATTACGTTAAAATTAGAAATAAATACGAGTACTCCGTGGATAGATTACGTTAAAATAAAAACTCCATATGAGTACCCCGTGCATAGATTACGTTAAAATTAAAACTCCATGCGACTACCCCGTGTATAGCTAACGTTATCATTATAATTTTATACGAGTTCTCAGCGGGTAGATTACGTTAGGATCGTAACATCATACTAGTACTCTGTGCATAGATTACGTTAAAATCATACAAGTACATTGTGCATAGATTACGATCAAATAGTAACATCCTATCAGTACTCGGTGCATAGTGTACTATAACATAGTGACACCATACCAGTACACTGTGCATAGATTACAATTAAATAGTAACATCATACCAGTACATATAGATTACGAAAAAATAGTAAAATCAAATCAGTACTATGGGTGCATAAATTACGTTAAATTAGTAACATCATATCAGTACTAGGTGCATAGATTAAATAGCCAGTACACTGTGCATAGATTACGATGAAATATTAATATCATATCATACAAGTACACTGTGTATAGATTACGAAAAAATAGTAACATCAAATCAGTACTGGGTGCATAGATTACGACAAAATAGTAACATCAAATCAGTATTGGGTGCATAGATACGTTATAATAGCAACATCATATCAGTAGTCAGTGCATGGAATGATGGTATAGTGTAGTTTTAATTAAACTTGAGATTATGCTGAATTAAGAAAGTATATTAAGTAATTAATGAGATAAGATTCCGACAGAAGTTAATAGAATGCTTAAAAGCCATATTTGGGCAATCTGGTTTCGAGCAGAACAAGTGGAGGAATCTGCTTCTTGAGGTTGTTTGGCCAACTGCTCTTCTATCCATTCATTAACGTTTCTTTCTAACAAGTCTAAAGGCACTGCTCCGTTATCCATAATAGATGTGTGAAAAGCCCGGATGTCAAATTTTTCACCTGAAGAAACAAAAGAGCAGCTATAACCGCTATAGTCAGTCAGTTTCATAGAATCGGTGCATATATTAAAGGTGCGGTCAACATACGACCATAGTCGTCTTTGATTGCAATTGACCTGAGTCATCACTTCTTACACGATATGCATGTACATTGATAAAAAAGCGGATATGCATATCTCTTCTCTCATTTAGGTGACGTTCCTTTTATCATGTTTGCCTGTGATGATAACTATCGAGAACAATCATGCACTATTTTTTTTACCACAACTACTACTAATACTAATACTACATGACTAAGCAAAAAGCTTACCTAATTTTTTTTCAGCAACTTGCCTAATTTCTTTTATCTTTAATTCCCCTATTTTGTATGAGCAAGCTTGTCCAGGCCACGTCACATACCGATCTATTTCAATTGACATGGCAGCCTGTGACTCGGTCGTATATGTCAGAAAATAATCAATGGCATCATCTTTGGTCCAACTAGAATAAAGGTGAGGAGTAAAATACAAAAGTATTATAAATAAATCTCACCCAATCTTTTCTCAGCTATCTGTCTCACTTCTTTTATCTTTAATTCACCTATTTTATATGAACATGCTTGTCCTGGCCAAGTGATGTAACGATCTATTTCGACTGATGTACCATCACGTGATTTAGTTGTGTACTCAAGAATGTAATCTATGGCTTCATCTTTTGTCCAGCTGTAAATGTATGGACATGAAATTACAGTGAAATGAAATGAAATGGGATTTAACGTTCCACTGTTCTGCTCAGACTGGGCTAATGAAGATAGGCATACGCCATACGTTATGAGAGGAATTTTGCTCGGACAGCGGCACCATGACCTACTCTTATATCGAATTCCAACTGCCAAGCGATATTTTACGTGCATGTCAATGTATACACGGGTCGTCAGTTTTTCGCTCCATCCGAACGTCTAGACAACTGTCCTTGTTAGGCTCTCCGTCCTGCAGCACTGAAAAGGGGAAACCACGCCGGAAAATCCCGAGTAACTTTCCCGGCCAATACAAGGATCGAACACGCGACCTCAAGACTAGCGAGCCAACGTCTTACCCACTTAGCGACCGTGGTTCCCATGAAATTACAGTTTCGTACGCGGCTCTCTCGAGTTTGTGTAACCTAGATTTATAATGGATGTTGTTTACTCTATATTTACACTATATAATAATATACTCTAGATTTTATCAATAATTAATGTTGTTTGCTCTTCTATATTTACACATAGTACAATGTACTCTCCTAGATTTATAGGGGATTGGATGGCTGAATGTTTAGCACGTGCGAGCTGTATCATAAAGTCTGTCGTTGAGACAACTGGCATGGCTTCGATTCCTCGGTTGTACGTGACAATGTACGTGACAAGGAGTAGGGTCGCCTTGTCCAACCTTGTGGGTTTTCCCCGGGTCTTCCCACTGCCATAAAATTGAACCATATGTTAGTCCCGAAATTACCTAGTTTGTGTCGAGTGGACGTTAAAACCCACCTCTCTCTCTCTCTCTCTCTCCCTCTCTCTCTCTCTCTCTCTCTCTCTCTCTCAGATTTACACTATATGGTGTCTATGCCCTTATATCCGCACTATATTGTATTATGGACTACTTACTCTAGCTTTTCACACGATGCACACTAGATGTTATGTACTGCTCTAGATCTACAATGTGTGTGTGTGTGGGTGTATGTGGGTGTGCGGGTGTGTGTGTGTGTGTGTACTCCTCCCGATTTAAACTAGATGTACACTAGATATTATGTATTCCTCTGGATTTATACTAGTTGTTGTGTACTCTTCCAGATTTACACTAGATGTTGTGTGCTCTTAAGGATTAAACTGGGCTGTCTGTATTCATCTACAGTGAATCTACACACTGTGTACTCATTTAGATTTAACTTGGTTAGTTATCTAGTTGCCGTTGTGATTCTGTAGTTAGCTGCTATGTGTGACGCATCCTTCTGCAATTACTATCAGACTTGTTATTATTTACCCTCGCCATATCATAGCATAGCGTATCTATTACACGTAATTTTATTTAACAGACAATAAAACTTACTTATAATAATGAATTCCGGTGTCAACAACCAATCTACAGGCACGAAATATCTCAGAGCTATATCTACCCATTCTGTGAAATATAAATTACATCATTAATCTCAGGAGTCATGTATAAAGAAGAGTATGCTTACACTTACTAAAACAAGACTAGACATCATAGAGTTAGATATTATGAGTTGGTTTCAATGGTTTATAAGGATGTTGAACTTTTCAACTTACAATTCATTGTCATCCTTATAAAGACCAAGTTCTTCTCCTAACGATTCAGCGTACAATGCCCAACCCTACAATATAAAGATAATTTAAACTACAAATCTACCATTTCCCGTACGTCTACTTTAAAATTTATATATAAACAACTATTGACATTAATTATTTTTCCGGTTGATGTGTTTAAATTTATTGGCTCATTTGCTCTTCCTTTTTAGAGAGCCTTCATGCGCTGGTTCGTATTGTTCGTATCAGTTCGTGGTTCGGTCATGAAAGTTTATGTTTGTCAAAAACTTTCGTGGACGGTTTACGAGTTTCGGAATTCTTAGATGCATCGTAAACCCGTCATAGCTGACCCTTTCTTATATTCCGTAACAGCTTATTATTTTATTCTTGGACGAATAGTGCCAAATATAGTAAACTTTTTGTGGCTTTATCGGCATCATTCGTGGAGAGTGTAGTGTAAGCAATGCGGCATATCCGTAACTCATTCTAACTATACTCTTCAAAAAAAGTAGGGGATATTGAAATGCAAACACCTATGCAGGTTGTGATATGATAAATAGTCATAGATACTTGACATACTTTGAGAGTATGTTCACAGATGAAGAACTTATCGCCCCCAACAGAACCATACACATGGGAAGGGTTCATTGTCAAATTTGACACTTCAAGGAAGGGTTGATAAAAACTGCCGCTTGCTGGTTTATCCTATCCATGTTTGCTTTCCTATCGGTTCTTGCATAAGATTTACTGTTTAGCGTATCTTTGCTTTAGTGCGTTACGTTTAATTTGACCGGGAGACGTGTTTGTCGACGTCAACGCCAACCGACAACACTGCAAGAATTGGCCGTGGCACTGCAAGAGGAGTGGGTCAGATTGCCCCAAATCGTGATTGGACGGTTGAGTAGGAGCATGCCACGACGAATTGCTGAATGTCTGAGGACTGGTGGAGCAATTACTCATTAATAAGACAAATATCAAAAACGTTCATTTTCACTTTTGACAGTGTATCTCTTTGCGAGTGAAATGGGACCGTCAGATAAGTCGCCCATATGGACGGTTTATGTTCATGTGTAGGCAATTGGCCCGTTATTAACATACATTGGTTACCTCTAATAAAAACAGCAGGGCATTTCCACAGTTTTGTATTGTTTCTGAATATCCCCTACTTATTTTGAAGAGTATAATATCTCTTTAATTCGTATAGATGATTCTTTCATTTCGGACCTTTATCGTATCCCTACATTGACACATCGGGCATATTCTTCACCTTATTACCTACGAATTATCGTAACTCTTTCGAAAACTATTCGTAACTGTTTCGTAGCTTCTCCAGATTCTCAACGATCTTTTTGATTTATTTGCTGAATCGCCACAAATTTTGAATCAACACTATTCTGGGCGATTAGTAGCATTCGTTGACCACGTGAAAGCCGGGTATTAGACAATGCATCCGTTGCCCCGCAACCAAACACATTATGCTTTTAAACAATAAAAAGTGTGTTAGTGTGAATTACAAAAGGTTCTACAGCGGTACAAAAATATATAACACATGAAATGCCAAACTCTATGTAGATCAATTTATCTGCATTATCGACATATTTAGTAGAGACGTACCTCTGTGAATGCTGTGTAGGATGGGAAAGCATACGGTACGCGGAACTTGGTGGAGGATTCCATTTTACTTCTAAAATCGGGTGTTTCTGTGAGTAGGTTGTAACTTAACTATAAGTAAATATATTACGAATATATATAAAATCAAACTGTCCAATTACATATTCTTGTATTCGTGCTTTACATATAGGATATTAAACTATCCGAGGTTGATATGATAGAGACTTCGCGGGCGGAGCCGAAGATTAGTGTTCTCTATCATATCAATCCGACATATTATACAACTAGTCTGGAGGCTCACCTAAAGATAAATTTTAAATGTTCCTATTATTAATTAGAACAGGTTTCGCTTTAGTTTTTATATTTTACTTTGACATTTTATTGCTTTAAATCTTCCTAGTGCCAAAACGGTAAATTTCACCTTTTGACCTCCAGGGTCACTAAGACTAAATGTGAATTTAGCAAGTTTACATTTTTATTGAAAGTGTGATTACTTTCGATCATTTTCAGCTTCTTTTCATAATACAAGAATGACTGAGCATTCACTTTCAGTGCAAATGAACTCATTTGACCTTTGACTCCGAATATCTCGAAAACGCCCCAACGGCGGACTGATTACCACTCGACATCGGATTGTACGCAAAATTTTACCTTAGAAAAGTTGGGTCTGGTTTTGTGCCCATTTGATGGACACCCCCCGCGGTGAGTTTCCGGTCTAAACGTCATAGTTTTAATCGTCCTTAAACTAAATGGACTCTTAAACATAACATAACATCCAAATTTATATAGTGCAATAAATACTCGTATTAGGAGCTCCAAATGCGCTTGCAAAGTTATGCATTTGGTTTCATTTCATCCATAGTGTTGTATGAACAGGTGAGTTTTCAGTCGTGTTTTGAAAATGCAGACGGACTTTGATTCTTTTATATGAAGGGGTAGTGAATTCCACAAATGAGCTGTAGAGTACTGGAATAAACGTTTGGTCATTTCTAAGCTCGTGGATGGTACTATTAAGAGATGTTTTGAAGAAGATCGAAGACATTTTCCTGGAATATATGTGAAGATGAGATTTTTGATGGTGGATGGAACAGAGTTGTTAATAGCTTTGTAGGTCAACAAGATTATTCTTTGATGTGCAGAAAGCCAGTGAAGGGTTTTCAGTATTTTGGTGATATGGGCTATTTTCCGAGTTTCAGTAAGCAGACGTGCTGTCGAATTCTGAACATGTTGCAAACGTTGAATTTGTGATTTGGGAAGTCCGTATAGTAGAGCGTTATGATAATCCATTTGAAGTCAACAATAATGGTATAATGCCTCGATTATTTCCGCCTAATAACGAAAATTACCGATGCTAATCACGTGAATGTACATGCAGGTTTCTTTCAAACTACCTTCTTTCCATTTTGGATTTTCTATAGGTTCATATGAATTGAAAGCGAAAATAAAATTTACAATTTGTTAATTTGTTGTAAAAATACTATTTCAAATGGCATTTCTGTTAATATACAGCTCACATAATGTAAACTGACATACGGTTGTATTTTTTACAAAACGTTTGATGTAATCTTACATGTGGCCAAAGAGGGAATAACCGATGTGGCCATTATTTGAAAGTTCATTTACAATTTGCTGTATAAATAATAATTCGAATGGCAATTTTGTTCATATACAGCTCACATAATGTAAACTGACATATGGTTGTATTTCTACATTAAGTTTGATGTAATCTTACATAAGCTTTGTATTCATATGCATTTACATCGTTTTAAATGTAAATTAACAAACTGTGTGATATTACAAATCGGACATTGTATTTTAAGTATACTTATAACTGTAAATATACATATAATTTCAACAGTTTGATAGGGATCTTATACGTGCACACCAACGTGTACACGGGACCTCAGTGTTTCGTCCCATCAGAACGACTAGGCAGCTATCATTGTCCGGCCCTCCGCCCTGTATCACTGACAAGGGGGATCCACGCCGGGAAATCTGGATGAACTTTCTCGGCCAATGCAGGGATCGAACACCCGACCTCCATGCTAGCGAGCCAGAGTTTTACCCACTTAGCCACCGTGCCCCCTTCATAAATGGACTATAGTATAGACGAAAAGTAATGAAGCCTTAAAAGGTATATCTATGGTGGCTGATTGGTATCATGTGGTAATGTGGTGATGTCGCCTTTCATAACGCGACAACCCGACAACCCGACATCACGACATTTCTACCCGACAACACGACAACACGACAACCCGACAACCCGACATCACGACATTTTTACCCGACATCTCGACATTTTTACCCGACATTACGACACTAAAAATGTCGTGATGTTGGGTATAAATGTCGTGATGTCGGGTAAAAATGTCGAGATGTCGGGTAAAAATGTCGTGGTGTGGACGTTAAACCACATTTTTACCCGACATCACGACATTTTTACCCGACATCACGACATTTTTAGTGTCGTAATGTCGGGTAAAAATGTCGTGATGTCGGGTAGAAATGAATGTCGTGATGTCCGGTTGTCGGGTTGTCGTGTTGTCGGGTAGAAATGTCGTGATGTCGGGTTGTCGCGTTATGAAAGGCGACATCACGACATTACGACATGATACCAATCAGCCACCATATCTATCACTGTTAAAGTTCTAAAGAGATGTACAATTACACGTTTCCTGTAACTGTACACAAATCTCGTATTTAAACATGTTTGAATAGTAGAATTACCCATAAAACAGTTAAAGTACAACATATATGTACTTTTAACTAACATAGTTGTATCAATACAGAATACATGTAAAAAAAATACAGTTCTAATTTGTAACACTACACTTTATTGTTTTACAGTAATCCCATGTTACCGCACTAATACAGTAAATTTATAGTATATAAACATGCAGTGGTATTTTTACAGCGTTATGTTAAAGAAATTACATATTTTTCACTGTAGTAACCACTCGCCCCCCCCCCCCCCCCCTAAAAATTTAAAGTTATCCCATGTTACCGCATGCAGTTTTACAGCGTCATGTGAAAGAAATTACATATTTTTCACTGTAGTAACCCCCCCCCCCTGGTAAGTTGAAAGTTTCCTTCAGATATTTTATAAGCCTAGAGTTATTTTGTACATATCGAATTTTCGAGGCCAAGTTGAATTTTTCTTCTCATATTTTGAAAAAATTTTGTAACCAATTATTATTGTATGCATATCTTTCAGGTGTCAGGGTATACACAATAACAACAGTGATTTGCTACATGAAAGAGGGATGAGTTCCACCAATGCAACTGATGCCAAAAAATACCGATCTAAATATACCGATAAGTACACCCGTTTCGGTGGTGAATACAACTAACTGTACCATAAACCATAGGGTGCATCAGAATTTTATTGGGTCCTATTATCATATGATAGTACGCCATGAGAAGACACACTGACCAAATTTTCAATCAATCGGATAGTATTTACCACCAATACATGCCATCTAAATATTTTGAAAATACCACCTGAGCAGTTATAATGGAAATTGGCGTTTCATATTTTTTTTTTCATAGTAAAACAATCATATTATGTTACTGATGCAATCACATGTTATATCCACTCATGCAAAATGTTTCAGGTTTGAAGTTATTTTCAAAATTCACCAGAACTGTTCAAGATGAAGTAATTTCATGGTCTCGTTTGCCCACTTGTGAGCAGGTGTTGCGTTGCTACTTATTTCACCAACAAACAAAATCAGGGCGAAAGGATGGTCATCGGAAATTAAAATAATAGGTAGATGAATGTAAAAGTGTTATAAAGGTATCTTGAACAGTTTCTGGGATATGCTCTAGAATTATAATTATATATACCAAAATTCAAAAATCATTTGTTTCCGTGGAAACACAAAACGTATCAAATCCGAGAAATTTCCAACGGTTTTCTGGAATGGGGTAGTAGCCAACAAAAGGTTGGGAACCAGTGCTCTAGGGGTCAACAAACAAAATGTGAACGAACGGACGGACGAACGGATCCACGGGCGGAAATGGGTGACGACAACTTACATCCACATGAAATGTGGCCGTATAAAAAATACCTTCCACCTAAAGCATGTAAATGTGGGCGTATAAAAATACCTTCCATCTAAAGTATGTATATCTTTAAGAGATCACGTGCAGATTAACTGTGGTTAGATACGTTTAACTTAAATGTAATTATTATTAACTCGCCTGACCTGTAAATGGTGACCAGGATTAGCTTCATGCATCGTTAGGGGTAGCATAGAAAATTTTGGACTGAAAAGAAAAGGAATTTTATTTGAAGGTCTATATGAATACAAATTTAACGTTATCCCCAAATCTCAACATTTTCACTTTATTATCATTTTGAGTAAAATATTAATCTGTGCCTTCGTTTTTATCTAGCTCTCTTTGATGCGAGTCAAAAATAAAATCATAAATGCTCTGATTTGTTTTGTGGGGGACAAAAATTCACTGCATAAAACTAGATATTTAATTTACCTTTTCCAACGACTTTCCGATGATAAAAACCACGTCAAGTTGACTGAATTACAATTTGTTAATGTTTCATTGAAGCAGTTAGGAACGTAGTATTATAAGTAAAGAATAGAAATTATTCGAACGTATAGAAAACTGACAAATAAATTGAAGACAATATAATGATAAAGTCGTAACACTCTACACAAGTTCACGGTGTTTGTGGAAAAGGAAGCATAGGCCTGGAACAAAAGGTCGCTAGAGTTGATGCTTACAGTCTTTCTATCTGAATTAACCGGTTTTATTTACAACCATTATATGTACAAATGAAAATGCTCCTTTGAATATATTTTTTGCAATCACATTGAATCGGCGATTCAAACTAGGCTCTAAACCAATAGAAAAGGAAATTATATTATTAGAAATTAAACATCGCAAGTGACGTAGATCGAGAGTCAGTGATTGCCAACCGAAAAGAAAGGTCTATTATGATAAAGCACAAAAATACAACTCTTTTATTACTATTACTTTATCATACTTACAATTCTGCTGGTCGGATGACGTTTGCCCAGAATATGCCTGGTATAGATCCGTCTTTAGAACCCGTTGAGTATCTGCCTGCTGGTCCGTCTGATGACAAGGGTTTCACTCTGGAAAAACAACAATACATTTTCTAAACATATATTATATCTTCTATGGATAGAAACGATAAAGTGTGTTGTTCACTATAGAAAACTAAACTTCATAATAACCAGCTTCTATTTTATAATTGAGATCCAGGCTATTCTTTAGATTATTCTACTTTCTTTCGACACTGTCCTTTGCTGGCAACACGGATATTAAAGGGAATGACCAGGCAGACGTGGCTGTCAAGTTTACTTTAGATTTTCGCATATGTAGATTTATTTAACAAATAGCCTACAGATGTAAACGTTTCTATAAATGCATTTATTTATGACCACTAGCAACGGTCCTGGGATCTTAGAGGCATAAGTAAACTTCCTTTCATCAAGCCCCACTTTGGAGACTGGCCAAAGTCCTATAGAGCCAACAGGAGGAATAAAATTGTTTTATGTCATTCTAGCACTACTCAACCAGACTGTGACCATGTTCCTTTGGCAGTGAAACACAGTTTGATTGAGTACAAGCATCACAAGGATGTAAGATCAGAGTACTATGCTACCGACGGGGGGGGGGGGGGGGGCGAATGGTTAGCACGTACGTGCTGTATCATAAGGCCTGTCACTGAGTCAACTGGGGTGGTTTCGAATCCCCGGTTGTACGTGGCAAGGGGTAGGGTTGTCTGTCCAACCTCGTGGGGCTTTTCCGGCTCCTCCGGCTTCCTCCCACTGCTAAAGACCCCTACGCGCAAGCGAATTATTGAAATAAAATTAAACCATATGTTAGTCCCGAAATAACCTAGTTTGTGTCGAGTGGACGTTAAACCCCATTTCTCACTCTCTTTCTCTCACACTATACTACCGTTATCAATGATTACATTATTTATTTGCTCCACCGGGTCTAAACTTAAATAACTTAAATTTTAAAGTCTCTGATCGTCATGCATTTTTCAGAAAATATCGAAATTTCCATGGCATATAACATATGTTACATATTACATACAACATTATGTAACGATATGTTGGATGATAGCTGCTGTTTATATACTAAACAGCAAGAAAAGTTCAGTACGATTTCAAAATCAGAGAGGCACTGTAATCAAATCATTCTAGAAAACGACTTACTAAATGGATCAAAGCAATTTTTTGTAAACAGTACGTTGACACATCGGTGATTAATTCATCACAATTCCAAGACATTATGAGAAGGTTTAGAGTCTATACACAGTCTATACATCCGTATCTGATGTGTCCACCGCGAGTGTCAATAACAGCAGCGCAGCGTCTGTACATGGAGTGGACCAGACGATTGATGAACGCCATTGGCACTTGGACCCACACTCTCCAAAAAGCCTGGCGCAATCCATCAGCTGTGTTTGATCTAGGTACGACGTTATTAAGTCTTCTCTGAATTTCATCCCAAAGATGTTGAATCGGGTTTTATTTCGGATTAAGGGCTGGCCAGTGCATAACGTTGACACCGTTCTGCTGTAGAATGTCCCGAGTAACTCTCGAGTAAGTCCCGAGTAATGTGGTATGCCGTGGGATCTGAGAGCTCGATCAATGTAGCGTACTGCTGTGATGCCGCCTCCTCTCCCTGGACCAAGATTTTGGAACACCACAGGGCCCATTCTCTGGTTCAGGCAAGATACCACCCCAACCCATTATGCTTGGACCTCCCCACGAGTCTCGTTCCATGACACATTGGTCAGAATAACGCTGGCCACGTCGACGCCATATTCTGGTCCTGTCATCTGCAGTTGATACGCAATAACAACTCTCATCTGTGAACAGAACAGTTCTCTATTGGGAAAACTGTAGACGTTCACGTCGATGGCGAGGGGTGAGAATTGGTCCACGGTAAGGTCTACGGCAATGGATATTCTCTCTGGTGAGACGTCGGCGCACTGCATCGGCACTGGTGGCTCTTCGGTGTGTTCCCACTGTCTGGCGTGCTGTCTCAGATGCCTGTGTGAAGAGATTTTGCACGTGCTGTCGCACAACATGGCAGTCTTGTGGTAAGCCTTGGTCTACCAATTCAGGGGCGGTCATCCGTGGTGTTGGTGGCCCGAAAGCGTTAATGAAGCCTGTAGATGGTCGGAACATTGACCTGGAAGTGATTGGCAACGGCTTGGGTAGTGTCGCCAGCGTCGAGTCTCTAAGGCCTGGTTCTTCTGAGCTGTCGTGAGTCGTGGCATGCTGCTGGCGTTGTAGTGTGAATGATTCAACTAGATATGGAGGTGCATTTTATAGGGTTGGTCCCGGTAAACAGCGCGTACAGTTACATGTAAATCAAGGAGAACACATTACCATCTCAGAAGTCAGGTTGCGTATTTGAGAACATTTCCTGGGTTCAATTCTGTGTTTGGGAAGGAGCCTTATTGATCAGGTAAAGTTGGAGATGTAGTCTCAAATATACAATAAATACAATAAAAACATTTGGCAAGATTTATGCAATGCGTCTATTCAGATTAACATTCAGAGTGACGTTTCTTTATGATAAAACTTACACAATAGGTAAACCAGGTAAATTATTGAATAATTTAGCCAGATGTGGGTCAACACGATTTTCAATAAGATCTCTGTATCCATCCAACATGGCTTCCTGCAATTAACAAGTAAAACAAAACAAAAGAACTTAGATCAACATGATTTTGGAGTCAGACCACAATATATTTCACCATTGATTTTACTTTTATAGTCATGTTCTTTTTCTTAACATTTCTTCTATTCCAATCTTTTCAAACACGAAAATCCAAAATAACCTGATTTTTTTAAAAAAAAAAACCCGGAGTGTCTTATTATTAATGACAGTAGAGTTGGTCGATACTATGCCTGGTTACATTCTTATTTTTCTACATTAAAATCATGAGTCAAACATTGAAGAAAATCTTAAATCGGGGCACTGTTTCACAAAAGCTTAAATCTCCTTAAAATCGTCTTAAACTCAAATTCCATCCTAACTTAAGATAAACGAGTTTCACGAAACGATTTTACGCATTTTAGATAATATCCACTAAAATAATATTTTAAGTTAACATTTTATCTTAACTTAAAAAAGTAGCGTTTCACAAAACTATTTAGGGACAATTTTAATTAAAATCAATTTTAACTTAGGACAGCCGTCACCCTCTCCTAACTTAAAATCACGACATTAACAAACACTGGTTAGGGCTACGTTGTTCGAGCTATTGCGACATATAGATATATTTGTTATAATGTTAATATTGCCAATGGTCCGGGTCACATATTTCTACGATAGCCTACCATCATGCAAAAATGAGTTTTATTCAATTTATTTCCATGGCATGGGAAATACAGCTACGCTCCAGCCGTTTATTTTATTGTAAGGCAATTTAAGCAATTAAAATGACGCCCAAAACAAAATCTGAACTTACTTCATATCTAATTAATGTCATAGAAAGAAAAGCAGTCTTATCTATAAAAACATCTTCGTTTAAAACGGCTAATTTCTTGGTATTAGAAGGCCTAAACTTTAAAGGCCTATGCCAAGTATTTACTCATATGGTTTTGGGGTTATAATGATTAGTAAAAAGATAAATCAATAATCTCAAATGTGCTTATTGAAAAATTAAGTTTTAATATCATAGATTTATTATTTTTTTTAAATAAAGGCTTACGTTAATAACACAACATAATTCAGAAAAGTTTTAGAATCTATTTTTATCTTTGGAAAAATCATTTTAATTGAGTAAAAGATAGATAGGCATTATCAAATAAGGAGTGAGGCACTTTGGTAATTTCACATTTTTTTGAAACAGTATACGGGGATGGCATTTCATATCTAGGCATCGGAACATTGTCTATTTGGTGGATTAGTTTCAAAGTTGTTAAATACTTTTAAAATTCGACAAGAATTTTACAGGCTAGATTAGTCGTTGAGTCACAAATATAATATGTTTGTGACAATTCTTAATAGTTTCTTTGATCCAAAATACCATAAAACTACGAAATTCAAGCGATTTAATTTATCGATAGACATTATTTCTATTGAAGCCTATGAGTAAATCCAATGCCAAGGTCACGAATCAAATGGCAAGTTCAAGGCCAAAACACCGATACATTTCGAAACGAATAATACGCAATAAACTCATTTATTTCACCTCTCTACGATTGTCTGACCATGTGCAAACATTTCTACAACGTATGAAATTCTCCCCATTGATATTTTAACCATTATTTCAACCTGTCAACAGTTTTCAATTTCGAAGCGTATTTGCTTACACCCTCAGTAGTGGCCGCACAGGAAATGTGGACTGTGCGGGCGCCAGCAATTTTAATTAAAATCTATTAAAATTGTATAATACGTTACAATCGATAATTTTGATTTTAGTTAAAATCTATTTTAGTGATATTACCTTAAGTTTTTGTAAAACAGGGCCCAGAACCCTAAGAACCACTCTCGATCAAAAAGTGAAGGAAGGGATGCGCAAAAGGGAAGAGAGAAATCTATATTATTACAATGACATGTTTGTCTTAAATATATATAATTTGGTTTACCGAACTATTGTAGAACATAGTTGAGTCATTCTTCAACTTTGCAAAATATTCTGATATTGATCCTTGAAAATGGTTCTTGGTCATAATCTGTAAATCAAAACGATAAATATATATTATTACTGTCCATCCTGGTTTCAAATATTAGTTTAATATCTAATCTGGTGGACGTGGCAAAACGTACAGCTAAAGCTAAATTCGTATTTTTTTTTTTACACAAGAGCGGATAATGGTCGATAATTCCTGCAAAAGATTCAATAACAATGTTAGGTCCGTAGAAAAAGCAAATGTTGGGATATAACGGGGTTTATATTTCTTAACAGTTATAGACAAAAATGGCAAAAAAAAACCCCCTTTCCAAGCAAAATTTAAGGGATAAAATTTGGCTCACCATTTTTAAGAAATGCTGTTTCTGCTCCTCTGACTCTTATTATGTTATAATTACATGAGTGACCTCAAGAATACAACATACAGAAACTCATGCAGGGATGTGGGGTGACTGAGCAGAAACCCCTAATGATTTCTGACTATGTCTGGTCGACTTGTCATAAAAAGGCCCAAAGAGTAATTGTCTGCGATATAACTCTAGGTGGAAGCGAATGTAAAGGACTTTCATTGAGTTGGAGCTTTCAAAACATTTACGTTATTGTCCACCACTTTTTACCTTTAAAATTATTCAAAGACAGATAAACAAATCGTTACCCTTTTCATCTCATCTGATATTCTCTTCACCTCATCCAACCCCTTTTGATGAACTTCTTCTGGTGTAAGATCCAGTGATAGATACCATTTTAAACATGCTTGGTAGAATTCTCTCCCTTTATGTAAATTTACCACTCCGTAACCTTGTCTTGTAGCCGGCATATATTCCTAATATTTATCAAAGGAAAATATTGGCGAATTAAATTATTAGCACCCGTATTTTGGATGTCGGAGCTTTAATTTTGGTTGAACACGAAACGATCGCCCGGGGATCCACCTAACCTCGTAAGTACTCCACTATTTGGATGGGAAGCAAATACAAATACGATTTCTGATAATTCTTGAATGTCTGCCTTGTAGTTTCTGTACGAAAATTGAGTCCACTAAATTATCCAATGGAAATACTAATATTATCACTTCAACCGATTTTTGTCATACCGTATGCAATATTGAAGCGCGAAAATAAAACGGAACGAGGTGTTAAAAATAGAAGTCGTACTGAAGAGTCAACTGTCAAGCGATAAACTTACATTTTGTAGAAAGGCCTTTAAGTCTCCAAATTTGTCCACCACGGAATTGACCGCAGTAACACCACGTGATCGTATCGTGGCCCTATAAAAAAAAATCAAACCCTAGTATTGGATAACATTAGGCACTAAATAAAATGGTGGTAAGTTCAAACATCTCTTCGACACTTTACCGCAACCATTTCTGGACTTGATCATTTCTCACGACAGCATGACTGGGAATATAGAGCAGGAACCCACCAGGGGTTCAGCCTAGCTGAAAGTGTACCATTTTTTGTCCTATAAGGTATCAGCGAAATTCTTGATAGAAAAGTTTGAACTGATCACTGGGGCACATGAAATACAGAATAGTTCTGAATTAAATCATTTACGATATATGATGATTGATCACCGGAGAATAATAGTCCTGGATCTGACTATGGTTCTGTAGGAAAGTTTGAGAAGGGAGAATTTCTTTTAAGAAATGTTTAGAAGGTAGCTTAGTCAGTATTTTGGACTTGGGTGGACACTCACCATGTGGTAGGTTATTTCATATGACGTCATCAAAGATGGCCGCCGACGTTATTTCAATTTTATCCTACCTGCTATAGTTTTCTTTCAATATTTATGATATAAAAGTCAGAATGAAGCTGTTTATGTGAACTAAAGTGAAAAATATATTTATTAAACTTTTATTAATTTTTCACGAAAACTCAATACCCAATTTTTAAGTGACAACACGAAAAAAGCTCTAAAATGTAAAAAAAAAAAAAAAAATAACACTTCAAAATTAATTACAATGGTATAACAATAAAAAAATTCGTTGACAGCATTCAAAAGGGATTTGTACAAGTTCCATCAGTGTCTTTGACAATCATAAATTTACAAAATGAACAGCAGGATAACTCATTGGCGCTGCAAATACAGAATGACTTTGCATATATTAGCCTACACAGACACAAGAACCAATAAAGTCATTGGGATACTTTTGAACATTGAATTACGGAGCCAGACCATTTTTGGATATTTCAAAGCCAAATTGACATGGTTCTAAATGAATGATTACATTATCAAGACAGTGATGTATATGTAGGTAGTTAGTATAAAAATATGATTTTAACAATCGAGCGGTATCTTTCATCCATTAGAAAATAACATTTTAAGACACATTAAAGATACCTTCCACGGTACAAACTGGGTGATCTGATGATATATTTGGACTAAAAGCATAATCAAACTAAATTTTTCTTCAAATCCTTCTCAAAACATTGTATTCGCGAGAAATACCCCACGCAATAAAAAATGTATTAAAAGAAGTCATGTTTGTCAGTTTGTGTCACGTGACTGAGCTGACGCGCCATCGCGTGCAACCCATGACGTCGCGTATGCGTAGGATGGGAGGGATAGCGTTTTACCCCAAAACGAATTGCAAAAGAAACCAATAAAGTTTGGTTCAATTATACATATATCAGACAACACCATACTCAAATTCGGCCATGGCGAAATAACGTAACTAACATAATTCAATATGGCGGTCTTCAACAAGTTTCAGTGTGTTTTAGTGGTGGGAGAATAACTCTTTTTTTTAAATTCTTCAAACACAAATGGTGATAAGAGGCGAAATGTGCTGAAATAACGAATTGGGCCAAAAGAAACCCCCTCAAGAAATGTATTTTCATGATAGCTATTTCGTAAGATGACTTTTAGCTATAAGTTTTCGATGTCTCTGAATTTAAAGATAACTTTTTTCCTATTGGATATGTCATTTATATGGTTTTCGGTGTCGCTGGGTTCAATTCTGATCTCAAAAATAATCCATGATGGCAGCAATGAAATCCCAAACGTCGGAGTTTTAATTAATCGTCATTAATTTTTTTACTTCCTTTAGATATGTCTTATAGCCTATAGGCTAAGGGTTTTAAGGGTGCAGAGTTGTCAGATTAACTGAGTTCAATACTGGGTTCAATAAATAATTTCCGATAAGATTGTCAGACATAGAATTTGTGCATAGGCTGAAAACATCACCATATATCATAGAAAGCATCATTTTCATTCAGTTTTTCAAAAGAAATTTTGCGCCTGTGAAGAGAATCCCATCGGACCCCATGGACCTTGGGCTCCCGGTCCGACCGTGGTGTCATCTAGACCGATAGTAACCACAGGTTCATTTATCTCTGTTATTCATTTCACAAATTCTTGTGATTGCCACAACCACACTGGAAGCTAGACAAAAACAAGCAGAAATGATGAACCTGTAGTTAATGTCGGTCCTTATGATACCCCTGGGGGTGGGGGTCCTGTGGTGTTCTCTTCGAATAGGCGAAAAATTTCTTTAGAAAAACTGACTGTAAATTGTGCTTTATAGAGTATATCTTGGTGTTTCTAGCTTCTGCACATCTAACTTTCGGCAATTTTAGCAATTCATTTAAAACGACATAAATTCACTATTAAAAGGGGACACCAAATTACGCAAGAACACTAACTATTGACTAGTTTTGGGAGCCCTGAAACTACCATACTCTTGTTCAGTCCATTCCCTAAAAAGGGAGGGGAAAGATGGGATGTTAAAACGTGTTGCAAATTTCTGCGTTACCTGATTACTTTAATCATCAGTAGAAATACGCTATATAAAATAATAATTCGTATATTATTTTACAGCTACAATAACGAAAGAAAAGTATGTTTCCGTTTTATTCAAAAAACAATTTATTGTCATTTCATGCAGAAAGATATGGTGTTAAATAATGTATGCTTTAAATTATCATATAAATTAACACTTGGTTCGAGTATTTTACAGCGACAACAAGGTTTCCGTTTAATAGAAAATTCCTATAAACAATTTATTGTTAATTTGAGGGGAAAGTGCAACAGGTGGTAGATAATATCTAAATGTTGTTTAAATGCATATTTTCACAAACTTATATGCAGATAGATGTTTATATGGAAGGTCCACTTGGATATAAAATAATATTTTGTGTGAAATATGCGTCCTAAATACAATACCACATGGGAGCCTTATGAAATTTTGCAGTGTAGTAGTTTATTCATACCTTTATTCTGAGAAATAAAAAAAACCATTTTGCCATCAAAGCTGGTATGAATATTGTTTGATGCAAAGTGAACGTACCCTTTTCTGCGTGCCCAGTTTGCGATATTTTAGTATGTTTACGGTAATAACGTCTTAAAATGCTTCTATTATAAAGTTAACAATTATTATCGTGATACATATAAATATATATATATAGGTTTTAGGGACGCTAGGTATATATTTGCTAATTTCATTTTGAATTCGTGTGAGAGATTCCGCTAGGTGTATTTCTTCACAGTCAGAAGATACTACATCTTGTGGTAACTATGTATTGTGACATCACATCTTGTAGTAACTATGTATTGTGACATCACATCTTGCCTTAACTATGCTTGACATCATAAATTAGTATGCACAGATAGTTCTTTATATAAAAAGACAAAACTTCTCTTTTGAGTGTTATTAATGTATTCTGCTAATTTTCTTATATTTTTGAAATTTTTCCACGTTTTCGCTTAAAAATGTGGTATGTGCTTTCTTGAAAATAAATAAAAAAATTACCAAAAATATGTTCTTCAAATAAGTTCAAATAAACAGCTTCATTCTGGCCTTTATTTCATAGAAATTGACGGAAAACTAGAGCGGATAGGATAAAATTGATATAATGTCGGCGGCCATATTTGATTACGTAATTGTGGAATAACCTACCACGTGGTGAGTGTCCACCCAAATTCAAAATACTTACTTCGGCACCCACTAAACATTTCTTCAAAAACATTCTCCCTACTCAAACTTTCTTACAGAACCAGTCAGATGCTGGATTATATAGGAAAGAAGCGTATGGAAATTCAGAATATACGGGTTATTACGTTTTGACAATGATTTTACGTATAACATTACTACTGGTAGGTGTATTAAGGAACTTGCTACATGAATTAAAGGACAGTTTGGTCAGGACAGCAATATCCGACTTACTCTTATCCCAAATCTAATTTAAAGAGATCATTTGCCAGTGGCGTTGAGGTTTTCACCAGTGGTTATTGTAATACAATATCTCTAAAAAATACAATGTATTACCTCGTTGCATTAGTTGTATGTATTTGGTCTAAATCGTGTGTAAATGGCAATAAAAATGCACAATTGGCCGGATAATGCGACTGTGGACATTCATTCTGCACGTTTTCTATTTGATCTATTACTAAATTCTAGAAAATAAAAAGAACATCAAACATCATCACATATCTATGGTGGTTGATGGTGGCCATGTTAAATCTCGCACTGTCGACATCACGACATTATTGACGCAATCACACGACACTTTACTCAGTCGTATCATCGTGTTATTTTTGTCGTAACGTCGAGATGTTGACTTGTCGGCTTAGTCTCTGTTTACAAGTCACAAAAATACAGCTGTACTCATTGGGTCAATTCAAGTTCCGGGTTACACTTGTGTTAAGGTTGTGTTGTTGTGGTGTATAACTGATGTTCTTTTTAGTGCCTTAACCTGAGCCACTCGATTTAGCACTAGTGTTTACACCAGTTTCTAAACTAGGTTAATACCAGTGTTAACACTGGGGGGAAATGAAAAAAAAAAACACCTATAACACTAGGGTTATCTTTAAATGTTACATTGGGTCAATTCAAGTCTTAGGTTAAGGTGGTGTAGTGTCTAACACCAGTTAGATCAGTGTAGCACTGGTGTAACACTGTGCTAACTCAACCTTAGATCCCCTCTGCATTTGAAATCAGTCCGAGTTAAGGTCTGTGGTGTTGAGGTTGTTTTAAACAAGGATATATAATATTTACACAATATGAACACCAGTGTGTGTTACCCTAAACACTAAGTTATACCTGAGCCCCTCAATTTGTCTATATTTTCAATATCAATTTCCAGATTTAAGAAACAAATTTACATGAAAAAAATATAAAGACAAGGATCTGTGTGCAATATATTTTCTAATTACATAAAAACCTGTTAGATAATAATAACTTGATAAAAGTTATTATCTTTTCAAAGATAACTCTAACACTAACCCCTAGGGGTTAAAAGAAATCTTAGTTCAAGTCATTTATTATAACACTGGTGTGAAACAACAGACCGTACAGACGGCAAGAAGAGAATTCCTTTTAAGACTTTTAGATTTAGTTTTAAGGCTTAAAATGATTTTTTTAACCATATATAATATATGGCCAAAATGTTGATCTCAAACCTGCTGATTTACGAGAAATTTCAGATAGGAAATTTCTACTGAATAATGATCAAATGAGACTACAAAAATTCAACATAGATCCTAGTTACTCAATTTCATGGAAGCGATTAGTTTTCCTCATTTACCTTTCTTTTGCTGTTTTTTATACGCCCACATATAAAATTATCACCGTTACACCCTCATGACGGTTGAGTTCCATTTTCGTGAAAATCGTACCAAAATTGTCTGACAAAATGGCGGCTCCTTGTACGCAAATAGTGTAAAAGTATACCACATCAAGGTTATAGTCCTCTAGAAGTCACAGTTGTTATCAGGTTTTGACGAAACTTAAAATAAATGTTTATGTCCCAAAGATCTCGGTACCGTTCGCTATTTCCGCATATCAGACCGTAACTTCCTGGAGTATGACCTCTGATTGTATGAAAAATAGTATTTTTGTAGCTTGTGGATTCTCTAGAGGTCACATTTTTTTTATCCGATTTGAAAAAAACGTTTAAATGTATCACCATTCCAACATAATGAAGGTTGAATTCTAATTTCGGGAAAATCACAACTAAACTGCCCGACAAATTGGCCGCTCTTTGTATGCAAATTGTGTAAAAATATGTAATATAATATGAAGGTTGTGGACCCTCTAGAAGACACAATTTTTACGACGGGACGATTTACCCAATACTACCCAATACCACCCAATTCCACTCCAATACCACTCCAATATCACCACATACAACCCAATACTACAATATAATGGTGCCACATGAGCATTGTTTTTAGCGTGTTCTCTATTCATTCGTCCAAAATGTGGGCGTATCTTGCCTGGTAACCTCTGTTTTTTTAGTTGACCAGCTCAAAAACACAGTGTAACATTTAAAGATAACAGTAGTGTTATAGGTGTTTTTTTTTTATTTTCCACCACTGGTATTAAACTAGTTTAGACACTGGTGTAAACACTAGTGCTAAATCGATGGGCTCAGGTTAAGGCACTAAAAAGAACACCAGTTATACACAACTACAACACAACCTTAACACAAGCGTAACCCGGAACTTGAATTGACCCATTGTGTTTTTGTCTTCTGGTATTTGCATGAGCTGGCCAACTAAAAAAAATACAGCGGTTGCCAGGCAAGATACGCCCACCTTTTGCACGAGATGGATAGAGAACAAACTAAAAACAAAAGCCACCTTTCGTTCAATCAGGGGTCATAATCCAGAAAGTTATGGTCTGAAACGTACAAATATCGACAGGGACTGAGAACGTTAGGACATAAACATATATTTTAAGTTTCATCAAAATCGGATAAACATTGTGACATCTAGAGTGTCCACAGCCTTCGTATTACATACATTTACACAATATGCGTACAAACAGTGGCCATTTTAGTGGGTCCACAAGCTAAAAGTGTGATTTTACGAACAATCAATGGCCATAATCTAGGAAGTTATGTTCGGATATGCCCGATTATCAACAGGAACCAATATCTTTGTGTTATAAACAAATATTTAAAGTTTCATCAAAATCGGATAAACATTGTGGCCTCTAAAAGGTCCACAACCTTGATATGCCATATCTTTTACATTATTTGCATACGCGGGGCGGCCATTTTGTTCGACAGTATTGGTCCGATTTTCACGAAATTGGAACTAAACCGTCATGAGGGTGTAACGGTGATCAATTGATACGTTTTTTTTTAAAATGGATAAAAATTGTGATCTCTAGAGAGTCCACAAGCTAAAAATGTGATTTTCCGTACACTCAGGAGCCATAATCCAGGAAGTCATGGTCCGATATATGCCAATATCGAAAGGAACCGAGAGCTTTGGGAGATAGACCTATATTCCAAGTTTCGTGTTAATCGGATAAAAATTGTGTCCACAAACAAATTGTGGACGGATGGACGTCCAGGGGCGACAGCATAATACGTCCACATAAAAATGTGGGCGTATAAAAAAAACAGCAAAAGAAAGGCAATTGAGGAAAACTAACCGCTTCCATGAAATTAAGTAACTAGGATCTATGTTGAATTTTTGTAGTCTCATTTGATCATTATTAAGTCGTAATTTCCTGTCTGAAATTTCTCGTAAATCAGCAGGCTTGCGATCAACATTTCTTTGTCTTAGGTTTTGGCCATATATGGGTAAAAAAATCATTTTAAGCCTTAAAATTAAATCTATAAGTCTTAAAGGAATTCCCTTCTTGTCGTCTGTTGTTTCACACCAGTGTTGAAATAATTGACTTTATCACCCAATAATACATTCCACAGTAGATATCGCTTGTGTGATATATTTCATAATCTACTGCGATATCTCCTTAGGAGATATCGCTTTACATGAATTTGATTGGTCAGTTGAAATGGAACTACTTTTTTTTATTTTCAAAGAACAGTTCATTTCTTCTTAAAAGTAACTTTTTTTTCAAAAATGAACTATTGTTATTCAATTGACCTTGATGGAAACACTGGGCCAATATAAAGGACTTTGCAATGGTTGAATTGCTGTCAAAAAATGATGTATCACTACGCCGTAATGTTCAGTAAAAGTGAAATCTACAGCAAAGAATTATATTATCTATTTGTGCATGTAAGAAGGGATTGGGTGATAAATAAAATCTCCTACTCGTCTTTTTTGATATCAAAAAATATCAACACTCGTTGATAAAGTAAAAAAAAAACTCGGCAGAGCCTCGTTTTTTGTTAGTGTTTGGGTTACGGTAACACAGATACGACACTGGTGTTCATGTTGTGTAAATATATCCTTGTTTAACACAACCTCAACACCACAGACCTTAACTCGAATTGATTTCAAATACAAAGGGGGTCTGAGATTGAGTTAGCACAGTGTTACACCAGTGCTACACTGATCTAACTGGTGTTAAACACTACACCACCTTAACCCATTGCATCATAAAAGTAGTATATTAAATAAATATAAATAAGACTCGTTGAAAAGAGATAATAGGAAAACGTTGATTAATTATTTGTTTTCTCAAAATAATGAAACATTCTGCGTCCATACGTGAATTATATTTGGTATTATATTTAAAAAATCTAGAATTACAATAGCAGAACAAGAGTGAGTTAGCTATGTTTATTACTTGAATAAGAAGTGGTGACGGATGTATCGAACAAGTAAGCATATATTGCCTAGTGTACAACACTCGCCAATACTTATAGATGAATGGAGCGATGGTTTAGAAGGGATTTCAGAAGATTTCACATTTGTTTTATTACAGGGTGGGAAAGCAATTATAGAAAGTCTCAAATCGAGCCACAATCTTTAAAATCACCGCATTGGTGTAGCACGCCACCCCAATAGTTGCAGGAGGTGTTTTTTTATGAGGTGCAGAAAACGATTGGCATGGTATCAATGATGTTTGTCTAAAATTGATTAAACAACATAGGGTAGTAATGAGAAATATTACATTTTGAATCCCTATCAATGATAACGTACATTTACTCAATATGTTCCTTCTACTGGATCACCATTTAACTTGACATCAAGGAATGCAGTCGACCGAAGAAAAAAGATTTTAGAAAAACACGTTTCAATATGACAGTAATGGTTCGATCATGCATTTACATCCGAGAGTGTCATCCTTTCTTTGAAAGTAATGATTGTGCCAAATTTGAACAAATTCCATCTAGATTCGCGGCCTGTGGGTACAGTGTTGACAGATAAAACGTAAAAATAAAACAAACCTATAAAAATATATTTTCTAAAACTCTTTTAATTTTGAAATTACATGTTTTCACATGTGCTGAGTGTTTTAGCGAATAGTTGTTGGGGTTGCTCGATTCACAGTCCGGAACGTCCCGAATTGACAGAAGTGCAATCGAGTGACGCGGAATTCAGTCCTGTCACAGTTCTGTCAGTCCCGACGACGGAGGTGGTGTGAATAGAATTGTGACGTAATTAAACACGGCGAACGGGTTTCGGCTGCAAGGTTGGATGAGATATTTATATATCCAGTCGACCCATTTTCACTCGAATGTCACTATTTTTGGGATTGAGAGAATTCAATTCCGGAACTTTCAATCGAGTACGCCCATAGAAAAGGTCTTGTAGATTAAGATTATAGCGCATGCTTCCCTTGTTTTCAAGTACCCTATGTTGTTTAATCATTTTAGACATATTATTTTCCAGTCGTATCAAACATCATTGATACCATTTTATTGATTCCGAAATTATTAGTAAAACAAAATAAGAGAGGAGGGGAAGTATGGGACTTTCTGAGTGTGTTCATAGTTGAAGGCAATATTGGGTATATTTTCAATCATCAAGGCCTCGATCCCTTTAGTGATGCCAAACGGATGAATATGCGATAAGGTTAATAACAGCTGCCAATCGTTTTCTGCACCAGTCATCTATAAGTATTGGCGGGTGTCGTACACGAGGCAATATATGCTTACTTATTCGATACCTAACACAACAATTGGAGGGTCTAGAGCACAAGTGATCTAACTACCAACCATTTTAGTTGGTTGTTAGATCACTTGTGCTCTAGACCCTCCAATTCTTATTCAAGTAATTAAAATAGCTAACTCACTCTAGTCCTGCTATTGTAATTCTAGATTTTTTGAATATAATACCAAATATAATTCACGTTTGAACACAGAATGTTTCATTATTTTGAGAAAATAAATAATTAATCAACGTTTTCCTGTTATCTCTTTTCAACGAGTCTTATTTATATTTATCTAATATACTACTTATATGATGCAATGAGTACAGCTGTATTTTTGTGTCTTGTAGACAGAGGCTAAGCCGACAAGTCGACATCTCGACGTCACGAAAACATTAACACGATGATACGGCCGAGTAAAGTGTCGTGTGATACATGAATCACCCATTCCAAAAAAGGGCGTGTCACTGTTGCATTGTGGGAGATCGGTGAGCAAACTACTCGTAGGCCACCATTAGCTTGCATTGGATTTCTCTGACCAAATTTCGAAAAACGCTGAATTTACGTTAATTTTAGTGATGGGGGATATTTCATATGATGTGATAGAGACACAGATGGTTGATGCACGTAAAGAATACCTCAGAAAGCACATTCTAAAGTGTACAGATCGCAAAAAGGTAAAATGAAAACTCAAAAACAAACAGCTGTCAAACTTTTAGCAGGTCAATACTCAAACTGTGAGTGTACAGTGTTGCATAGAAATAAATAGCACAGGGTACATTAAGAATGCTTAATAAAAAACATGTTTATTACGTTCAGTATTATTCATTTATATATTTTAAAATTAATTACTATTATTACTCTTGTTGTATGGTTAAGTTTTGACAGCTGTTTGTTTTGACGTTTTAATTTTACCTTTTTGCGATCTGTATACTTCAAAATGTGCTTTCTGAGAAATTCATTACGTGCATCAACTATCTGTGTCTCTATCAAATCATATGAAATATCCCCCATCACTAAAATTAACGTAAAATCGGCGTTTTTCGAAATTTGGTCAGATAAATCCAATGCAAGCTAATGGCGGCCTACGAGTAGTTTGCTCACCGATCTCCCACAATGCAACAGTGACACGCCCTTTTTTTGGAATAGGTGATTCATGTATTGCGTCAATAATGTGTTGTCGCGTTATGAAAAGGGCGAGATTTTACATGGCCACTATCAGTCACCATACATATCACTAAAATTAATTAAATAATATAAAAAAAAACATTAAATAACATGAAATTGAATAATGAAATTTAATATTTTATGCTTACCACAGATACATTGTTGTAAGCTGTTCCAAGTCGAACAGCTTCTCTAAACAACGAGATTCTTTCATCAATCTTAATAAATGAAAGAAAAACATGGTTAATATCTCTCTCCCCCTCTCTCTCTCTGTCTCGCGTTTATTTTCTTGCCGCGAAGTAACGGAATACACTGTATGAGACGATTGAATTTCCAACATCTGTACGCATCTCTCTCTCTCTCTCTCTCTCTCTCTCTCTCACTCTATCTCTCTCTCGTCCCTGGCACGAAGATTTCTTCATCACAGTCGGCAAACACCGTTTATTTCCTTGCCGCAAAGTAACGGAATACACTGTATGAGACCATTTCCAACATCTGTACGCATGCGCGAATGCTTAGTTTTTTACAATATAGTGGTTCCATCTCTGTACCCCCACAGGCATCGGTCTGTTGAGAGAGAGAGAGAACGAGAGAGAGAGAGAGAGAGAGAGAGAGATCTATAAATCTAATAATTTAAGACTGCAATGTTAAACCCATAGATAAATAAATATATTGTGCAGTATGATGTTTGTTATGAAAAATGAACAATTTGTCGGATAAAGTAGAGGAAAATATAATGGCATGTAATACGGAGAGAGATAGATAACGACCTCTATAAATCTAATAATTTAAATTTAACACTAACTTTATTTTTTGTCCCCCAGATAAATAAATATATTGTTCCGTATGATGTTTGTTATGAAAAAAGAACACATTGCTGAATAATGTTCGAGGAAAGTATTCAACAAAATAATTAAATAAGATACTCTAAAAGTAATTTACACCAAGTTACCGAAAAGTGTCTGGAAAAGACTACAAATAAAAATTTTGTTTCGGTTATTTTCCGGTCTCAAATAGTTCTGCGTATTTAGAGCCAGCAAATATTTATTTCCTAAAGTCACGAGAGCGGCACGTAAACAAAGGTTGTAACCAGTAAATAAAAGTAAATCTCAAAGTGTTGTAATGAGTTTATCTTGCCGCGATCATGAGTTTGAAAGTTAGAAAAGAAACGGAGCTATTACAACTAGCTATATACCAAAATCGCCCAAATCAAAAATTAAATCACCTCGTGCAATCGAAATTTTTGTTCACGTTCGCTGTAAAATAACCACCCACGAAAGACGAAGCGCGTAATGGGTGTATATTTAGTCGGCTTTATATACCAATACTTGTTTGTTTAAAAGCTATTTGTGACGTATATTTGCTGCGATCTCCCGACTCCTCGTGCGCGAGATTAGCTTTGCTCACTCCAGAAAATCTCCTCGATGGTGCAGACAGGCAGATTAGCGGATCAGTTTTTATAAGGACAAATTATTGAGCCGTGAACTACTCTATCAAAAGAACAATAAATGGAAGTAATACCTGATCTGGTAGTCTTGTGAGTCGTGCCAAGTAATTCTCATAATCACCAACAGTATGGAAAGGAAAGAAATTAGTAAAGCTTGATGGATTCGTCTGTGGCCCTTCCATTAAATTCAGTGGGTTAATATTGTTATAACTGTAATGAATGAACGAAATTTTATTTCTATCGAACATTGAGCTCAAGATGGCTTCTTACCTATATTCAGTTTTAATCGTCCAGGTTACTATTTAAAAATGCAGTCATTTTTTACCCACGACCTTAGGGTGGCGTCGTAAAGTCAGTACGTCGTTCTAATTGTGAGGTCATTATAAAATTTAATTGTAACTGCGCTTGGAAAACTGCTGGAAACTACAAACCGCTGTACAATCTGTACAAAAGAACACATGTTCCCCACACTAAAACTATCTGTCATAGTTGGTCTGTAGCCGTCTAATAAAAATCAATAAAATTAGCATCTTAATATTTATTACCAGAATATAGAAATATCAATGAAATAGAACACATCTAATGTTTCCAGAACCAGCTAATGAGACCAAAACTTCAAATATTGAACCTATCGTCCACGTCCTCAAAGGCATCAAGCAGCACAAGCCAAACCATGCTTAAGGCAGCTACATCGCTTGGATTTACAATCCCCTTTGCAGCTACAGCGTATGATTTTCAGTAGTGATTCAAGCGCAAGTGGGCTATCCATGGTCTTCGCAACGTATTTTTCTTTCGAAAGTTGCCAACCCCAATGTTCTGGATTTAGTACTGAGGCAACGTTAGTCCAGACTTGGAGATACGTGGACTGCAGCAGCAATCTCAGATGCTGTAGCAGAACTCTTCGTAAATACGTGACCAAGTTGACGAAACTGTGACGATAAGAGAGCTTTTTCAGTTTTGTACCTTTCCCGATACCATATAATCTGGAAGTGGTGTCGCACCCGCCAATGGGATGAATAAAGGGAAGGATTTGACATATTTCTGTCCCAAGCTTGTTTATGATGCTACCTATATCCAAAGGAGCCCTTTTGGATCTATAACCGGATTTCATAAATAGAATTCCAGACTCGAGATTACCAGCGTGATGACACATCAGTATTAAAACATCGGTATCTTCTGCCAGGACCTGTGTTGGCCCAGAGCGCGCCAAAATTTATACGGCAGTTGTAACTATTAAAACTTCAGCATCTGCTCGAGCTTTCTTTACTTTAATATTATGCTCCCTCATCACTCCAGCTAGTAGGTCAATGAAATTAGACTTGTTTCCTTCGTTTCACACAAAAAAAAATCCTCTTTCTTAGCTTTGAGCTGTTTTTCAGGGCCAAGTCCAATAACCTCTGTGGATCTTATACTGCCTTTGGTGCGACGGCAGTGTGTGGTGTCCTTAGTAAATGCGATTTTGTCCGATTGTTACTATAGGCACTGGAATAGTAATTGAGGATCTATGTTAACAGATTCGCCGTCTATATGTACCTTTTTAGCAGTTCTCATAGTGATGACTTCATTCTTTTTCCGAAACGAGTGCTCATACGCATCATTACCATAGACGCTTTATGACAATTCACTGATGACTCGGCTTTCTCACCTGTGATAAGATTACGCATATCGACCATCGTCATGTATTGAGCCCATAATTCTCCCATTGGGTGTTCTTTTAGGATGGCTTTACGATTATCGATTCTTTGCTGAACCTTCTGCATTGCATCACCACATGTATAAATAGCTTCCTCAGATGAAATTTAGTTTGATACCATTCTATCAAACAGTTCAATCAACTTTTGAATTTCAGCGGCAATTGTCGCTTTTTCTTCAGCACCTTCCAGGGGTAAATCGTATTCGTCAGAAATCACGAGTGTGTTTATCCCTGAATCTACCCAAAAATGACCACGGGTAGACATCGCGTAAGATTTTCTACTCAGCATGCGAATTACTGCATTTTCACCGTATTCCTCTTCTAAAACTGCCAAGGAAGCTCATGGCAGTATGAAAACCGCAAGGTCTAAAACAATCTTCTTGAGTTCGCTTGATCCAGACTCGTTGTGTATTATGGTTTTAGCCTTCTCCCACAAAGGCTGGTCAAACGTTATCACTGGTATACATTTATATCGTCGACATTCATCAGATATAAAGTTAAGGGTTGGGTAAATGCAGCGCATATTCGTTGGGTCCATATGGATCATAGGCAAAATCGAATCGAAGATTTTCCCACATGGTTCCCTTTACAAACAGCCCGTGTTAAACATTGCCCCAGTCATGCTGTCTTCATTTCTGCTTTTGTTCCAACTAGCAATTCCTCCAAGAATAACTTTAAAGTTTCGGGCAGATATGTAAGCATCGTATCAAGAGAATTCATAGATTCAGTTTCGGGACAAAACTCCTTGGTCTCGTTGGAGAACTTCTGAATTATATCACTCTTTATTAATGCTGCCACATGCTCGTATCAACCTCTCCTTATCTTTCATAACATTGGTATATAATTGGGATTTTCTTGTCAGTTCTAAAGTTGAAGCTAAGAATTTGATGATATATAGCATCTGCTGCATGAAGATCCTGCCCTACATACCCCATCCTGCCCTTCACTATCGCCGACCAGTCATCGTGCCTTTCAGTACAGATATTCCTTAGTTGATTTTGAAAACAGTTTCATGTCGCTATTTCCCTACAAGTTGAGTTTTCTTTGGATTCACTAGTGACTTTTTACGTTTCACATGGACTGCGGTGCTGCTGTCACATGCAACTCAATCTGCCTAGACTTTATTGATTCCATCTGCGCCCCGCTGTGTGACAGAAACAGTTTCATCGCCATTAGCCAACGGTGCACTACATGTAGGACACACATACATCGTAAAATGGCGCCGACAATTTACCGGGTTTTCATAATATTCATTTCCGTAGCAGAAAAACTTTTGTAATTTAACAATATGGCGCCGATGACAGACTTCACAACGAGAATGGCTTCAAAATGACGTTACGACGTCACAGTGAGGTCGTAGGTAAAAAAATGCATTTTTGAACTCGCGAGTATCGATTTCCTATGGGTCGGTAATACATTTATTTCCTCTAAAATCAACGATTTTCGGAGATTTTGGAGATTTTCTGGTCCATTGGTGGCCGTCTTGGAATTATGTTAATTATGCAAATTTTATCTATACCCGCCTAAATGATTACATGTATTGGCTGATGGCGCATTTAGGCTTTTTAACCTTTATTTGCATGGAAGGTGTTGTTTCATTTTAGTGTTTTATTTCTGAGAATAAATGACTTGACTTACAGCCGCCATTCATATCCATTTCTATACGTTGATAACATGTTCTCCAATATATCATAATTCAACTTATCAGAACGACTTAAATCGTCACGTGGTATAGATGTCAACCTTGCAAAATATTCATCCGCCTTTACCTAGAGAAAAAGGGACATAGTCTTTATTATTTATGTATATAAATTATTCATCCACAACACATTATGGTTTGTGCATATATTATGTATTTACAATAGGCTGGATAAGCCAGGGATCAGAGAGCACCACGGAACCACACAAATTTGCTGCTACACTTTACCTGTAGGCCAGAATTACTCCCATGCAAGTATCGCTTTGAATTGCAAGGGAAGACAATCTTACTTAGAAAAATAGCGCTACCCTGACAAGTGGGAACCGGGATTGAAAAATCCCGAGATTCATCTCGGCTCACGCCGGGATTCGATATCCAGACGGCTAAATTTATTTGTTAATGCCAGCTCAATTTTTGTCAAGGTCGCTGAGATGTAAATAAGGTTAGGGCACGTGACTGTTGGCGAGATAGGGATTAGGGTAATCATTGGGGCTTACGCAATGTTTTGTCGATGCCAAATAAATAAACAACAGTCATGGTGAAGCGGGTGATTGGATGATAATATTATCTCATTCGCCAATCAAATTATAACCTGCTTACCTTCGATTCGTTATAACCAGCCAAAGTGAACGATTCCAGGATATCATTGTATTTATGATAACCACGGTAAGTAGATGATTCCGGCCGCACAGACATTCTCCACTCAAAGTATTCGGTACTGAGTTTGGACAGAACCGATCCAGCATCACCTTAATATTAGAAATATAAATAAACAGATTAGATTAAACCTTTTACACACTTTGCGTACAAAGAGTGGCCATTTTTTCCGGCAGTTCGTTTCGATTCCCACCTTTATTATGGTGAAATAGTGATATACGCTCGTATTTAAACGGTGTTTAAAATTGGATGAAAACTTGTAACCTCTAGAGAATCCACAAACCAAGAAACACGATTTTTCGTACAATCAGGGGCCATAATCCAAGAAGTTACGGTCTGATATGCGTATATCTTTGGGACATAGATATATATGTTAAGTTTCTTCAAAATCGGATATCGATTTATTGTTACTTCTAGAGGGTCCACAAACTTGGTATGACATACTTTTACAGAAGGAGCCGCCATTTTGTCACGGTTGTATTGGTGATAAATATATACAAAAATTTTTTTTAAATTGGATAAAAATTGTGAACTGTAGCGGGTCCACAAGCTAAAAACGTAATTTTTCATTCAATCAGGGGCCATACTCCAGGAAGCTACAGTCAGATATGCGCAAATACCAAAAGGGGGGTTGGATGGCCGAATGGTTAGCACATGCGCGCCGTATCATAAGGCCTCTCATTGAGTCAACTGGCGTGGTTTCGAATCCCCGGTTGTACGTGACAAGGAGTAGGGTCGCCTGTCCAACCTCGTGGGTTTTCTCCGGGTTCTCCGGTTTCCCTCCCACTGCTAAAGACCCCTACCCCTAATTTTGAAATAAAATTAAAACCATGTTAGTCCCGAAATGACCTAGTTTGTGTCCAGTGGACGTTAAACCTCATCTCTCTCCCTCTCTCTCTCTCTCTCTCTCTCTCTCTTATTACACGTGATCTTGATTTTACTTAAACTGGAGATCTGGTACATTACAGGGAGTTGACTTACACTGGAGTTCTGGAACCCTACTGGGTGTTAACTGACACTTGGGGTCTGGCACACTGCACTCTGCGTTAACGTATATCATAGTGTGCAACAAATATATATATATATATATATATATATATATATACTGTAATTAAATGTTTGTTGGTGTAAACAACTCATCCTCATTAATTAGGTAAATATTATGAGAACTAGTGACAAAAGGGTTGCGTCGGATCGCCCAAGACAAAATAAGGGCAAGTTCTCACCTATTACACTGGGTTGAGATTGGGGTTACCTTCTAAAACATATATACGGCGTTCAATTGGCACGACTCGGCACCTAATAATCGCGGCCTATAACAAACATTATATTTGCTTGCAAATACCTTTAGATTCTTTCTAGTTAAAACTAAAATACATGTATCATTTGAAATATAGATAATATTTTATGTTCTATCTTTGCGTAGAAATACAAAATATTGTTCCGTTTTTTAATATTCGACATAATATAATATTTGAATACTTCAGACAATAAATTGTGGTGCATTTCCCGAAGTATACAAATTGCCGCACATGTGTATACCTCATGGAACGATTTCCGACCACATATACAATGAAATGTAATATAGATTAAATTCAACTCACCATGTGAAGGTGTAAAGTTACATCCAAGGACAATCAGTATAAAAACCAACTTTCTCCCTTCCGTAATAAACTTATAACACATGTTCGTTACTGTTTTAACCTATTTTTATACCAATATAAATAACACATACATAATATACAAAATATAATAAAAGGTGCTACATTTTACTTTTCAGTAGTCCAAAAGAAGCAAGAGGCCTTACATAAAAAACAAGGTTCGACTTTGATGTTTTACTATGCCCAATTTAGATGCTGCCTACGTGCTGAACATGAAATTTAAATAAACGCATGACAGCACAACATATAAAATAAAGTGACACTCGTTCAAAATGTTAACAACAGCCTTAAAAAAACCACAAGAAATCCAATAAAATCAAACACGTAATTTTTAGGTTTTTTGAGGGTTATTCCGACGTTCGAAATAGCATTTGGATTAAATTATGCGTCGTAGAACACAGAAATTTCATCGGAAAGATCCATTTCATTTGCCCATTGACAGGCTTTTACTAAATGTTTTGGTCGGGTTGAATAAAGATAGATTACATCTTATATAAACAGTAGCGGTATTCACCGTTAGAAAACCTACCCTTCAACCTAACCTTGGGAAATATGACCGACATAAGTCATATGAGTTCTATGTATTAAAAACCTATGTTACATTTCCCCTTTTTGTAATCTATTTTATTTATCTTATTATTTCTTATGTAAGATACGTGTTGAATTAAACAGACACTGGCATGGGCGATATATTGTCCTTATAAAAACACATAGTCAAACTCTTTACAACCAAATATCAACTGGCCCCTGGGTTATAGAACCTTATTAAACCAGCCACTGGCTATTACGTCAGATATAATTAAATATGTTTTATGTAGTCGTGTCTCGTGGGTCAATTATGGCCGGAAATCATTCTAATTTTATTTGTTTGTTTTTTAAACATAATATTATGTTTCAGCCCTATAGAATGATTTGTGACACTTTAATAAATGAATTATTATTATTATTATTATTATAATTTATACAAAACATTAAAGTCTAAACAATGAAGAGATTAAGTATTGGTCATTAACCAAACTCTCTATAAAACGAACTATGGTTTTAGATTTCAACTTAGAAGCAATATTTTATAGTTTAATTGTGAATGTGTCATAATTGTCTATTAATATTATATATTTTGTAGAATTGTATTTCAAACATAGAGTGAGCTATGGTTTAGAACGGATCGGATCTCTCTGTTTGTGGTAAATATTTGTTGAGTTATCTATGTTTAATAAATCACACAGAAGTTGCTTGGACTTAGTCTTAAATTTATAAGATCAGAAATAACGAGGCCCCAATAAATTCGTAATAATTGGTACCAGGAGATTTAACAGACTATATATAAAATTGTCATCTATGAGAACCTTCCACTACAGCACCAGGTGTTCGAAAGAGAATCAGCAAATACATCAGTATACCGAGGGAATAAATACTAGCTTACTTAAAAAATTCCCAAATGATTTTAAACATCGAAACAAAAAAAAAATACCTTAAAGATGCATTATCTACTGCAGATCTTTGTTCTGGCTTTAAATGATATATAAATTATTATTTATACATTTATTCATATAAAAAGCTCATAATAACTCTCGTGACCATCGGGTGGCTAAGATATTAAGTAAATATTATGTCAAAAGTTCCAACATTCTGAACTTCGCTCAGAATAAAGTAATTAGACTAAATTTTTCAATATATCCATACATTATTAATTTTCCATAATTCATTTTTAAACTATTATCGCCATAGCAAGAACGACCAGCCCTTTATCAAAATCTTATATAACGCATCTTGAAAAATTACTAGTACTTTAGAAGCATACGCTGTTAGAAACAGCTGAAAATAATGCTGTTTTCTGAAGAACAGAAAATCTAAATACTTACCTAAAAAGTTTAAGCCTAGCTATAGTGTAAATCTCTGCGGGACAAGGATTATCTAGCTGTGTATGTATAATTAAGACGTCCTCTATTATATGTATCACGGATATAAAATGACAATAAACAAGAGTGTGTTTGCTACCACACAAACTGCATTCGTTCAAGTACAGACACACATTATCACAAGCCAGGGTATTTTCACTCCAAGATTTAAAGTGGGTAAACATTTGTGAATTAGGTCAAAATAAAGTTTTGAATAAAGACTAAGTGGAATTGCAGTTTCAATGTAAAATCTTGAAAGAAGACTATATATCATATCACAACCTGCATAGGTATTTGCATTTCGATATCCCCAACTTTTTTTAAGAGTATATATATATACACATAAAATGCTACGTCATAATCGTGATATATAATCGTGATACATGGTACATTGTAGCCTTGATATATGTCAGTAGTGATATGTGACAAATATATATATATATATATATATATTAAAGTAAATAAAGTACAAGTACTTCTTTGTTTACGGTAGATAAATGCATACATAAATAAAAAAATCCGTCCAGATAAAAAATTCTCCACTTTACTTCATTCTGACATACATTAAATCATATAAGATAGCTGTCTGCTTAAAAATATGAAATCTGTAAGTTCTTTACTTAAAGTTTCATGTGGTCCTCCTAGACTGGACAACCTGCTCTAAATGACGTCAGGCTGGTTTCTGCAAGTCAGAAAAGGAGTGACGTAGGAGCGAATCTGACGTATTAGAGGGGCTGTACGGTTTGGAATTCTTTAAAATTTTCCATGTGATGCGGTAATTTATATTATCGTCTTTAAGTTTCCATATGTATTTACTCAATTCTGTGCTGTTTTCCAGCTTAGTGTTCTAAAATAATGAGTGTGGTTATTAAATCTAGTTTTAAAAGGGCCCTCCGTGAGGCCTACATAGGTTTCTTCTGGTTTGTTGTTAGCGGAGACTGTCGCTTGGTATATTACTGACTCTGTCAAACACTTTTTTGGTAAGGGGCAAGTGCCACGATTTCTACAATTGCATTTTTGTTATTTGAGTTTGCATCACTTTTAACCCGGATTGATTTATTGTGATTGTTGATGCTAATTTTGACGGTATTTCGGTTGAATAGTTTGTGAAGTTTATTTGTGATTGGGAATTCTTCGTCTAATATTTTAAGGAAAGTTTTACCAACATTCGTCTGTACGCTTCGGCTGTATGGTGGGTTGAACCAAATTACATTTCTTTATCGTTTACGACTTCTGTTGTAGTTTTCTGGTATGCTTGGGGAACGGGGCGTATTTACCATTTGTAAGTTTGAGCGTAACATCAAGGAAATTAACGGTGCATTTGTTTGCTTCGATTGTTATATTTAAGCTGTGTTTGTGAAATATAGAGCATAGGTCTTTCTTCATTCGTTCTACCTGTCTTGGGGGCGCTCTTGTGATACCTAGGCCACCATCTCTGTACAATCTAAACATATTGCCGTGTTTCTCCGTGATCTCCTTGAGTAGAAATAAACCGACGAGTTCACATACTTCGGCACCATCAAAGCTACCCATAGTGACATCGAATAAATCTGGTGAGTGAGTCTTACCCCATGGTTTGTCACCATTCCGTTCGTCATGGCTAATTGTGCAGTGTATTGATGCAAAATCTAGTGCGGTGTTAAAAATATGTTGAAATAGATGGGTAGAAGTCGACCACATCAAATTCAATGAATTTACATTGGTTTTTGTTTTCTGAAGAAATGTCTTTCCGGTAGTCATTTCCCGTCTGACGATGACGTCATTGCCGCTGTTGATGATTTTCTACACACCCAAGACAAAGACTTCTACAGAACTGGAATAAAGCTCTGCAACACCGATGGCAGAAGTGTATTACATTGAAGGGGGACGATGTTGAAAAAAAAAAGTAATTGATTTGAATTTCTTGTTTCTTTCTGTGTTAGGCTCACTACTTATCAATCACCCCTCGTAAAACGTATCAACCTGTTGTGACGTAATCAGAGGGTGATAGATGATATCAGATATCACCCTCTGATGACCTCACAACAGGTTTACATCACTCTGCAATGAAAAAGTACACAAATTCTTCTTTTTAAGATTTTATTCACCTTTTTGCACAATGTTGTCAAACGATTCGGAAGGCGAACGTTGTCAGGCCCATGTTACTTAGCTTCTTCGTCTGACAATCAAGAACTTGTCTGAAATTCAAATTCTGGAGTGTGTAGTATATTTATATCAGTTTAACTCCTAATCCGTAAATGTGAAACTATTCCCATAACTAGGGTGAACCGTGCAGAAAGCTGGTCTCGACACGGCGAATGTACACGCTTCAGTGGCTTATCTTGAAGTGATTTCTCGCATACACTACGCACTATGATAACAGTCAGAGCTAGAGTCTATGATACTATAAATAGCCATCGCACCTGCAATTCTCTACACATCTATCAACTATTACAGCCGTAAAAAATCTATTGTTGACGATTCTGAATAGCAGTAATATTTAGCTTATTAGTTATTACAGCAGCTTTAGAAATTACGTTCGTTTTATTTTTTAAATTGCTTTATCAATAACTGTACCATTAGGAGCTGCATCTTTGGGTTTAGTACAAATAATATCTCTGAAATACTTGCATTAGGCAAAAACATGATACTAGCAGTAGTTTTATTTTACTTTTACATGGTTCTTATTGTTGAGTTGCCCAACGTGCGTGTTTCTAAATTCAATTCGTAAAAAAGTAGTCTTGGTTATCCCAACCTGTTTATCAAACGTAGAATGGTCGGTAGACTGGTTAAGCGAGACTACTTTCAAAACAAGGGCACGTAACCTATTTTTTACTCACACGTGCTGGAATGTTATGGCCGACACTCGGAACCATCTTTCAGTGTTTTATTTATGGATGATTAAATGGTCATAGCTTTTTAAGTACAACATGGCCGTTTATTTAGTGACTATATATGTGCCAAACAGATTTAAGGATTGGTATATATATATAAATATTGTGGTGTAATTGTCGAGATATTTGGAGATATTTATATATGGTGGGGCACCCTACCATAACTAATTATAGTGGGTAATATTCATCATTTTATTTTGCTTACTTCCGAGACGAATCTAGACATCCAAAAAATGAGAGAGAGAGAGAGAGAGGGAGAGAGAGAGAGGAGAGAGAAAGAGAGAGAGAGAGAGAGAGAGAGAGATGGGGTTAACGTCCACTCGACACAAACTAGGTCATTTCGGGACTAAGATATAGTTCAATTTTATTTCTATAATTCGCTTGCGCGTAGGGGTCTTTAGCAGTGGGGGGAAACCGGAGGACCCGGAGATAACCCACGAGATTGGACAGGCGACCCTACTCCTTGTCACGTACAACCGGCCAAAAAATAAGATCTTATATCCTCATCTTCCAGCTCACACGGGATTTTTTTCTCCTCACTATCGTCTTTATTATTCTGCCACACTGACCAACTGTTAAAAAAGTTCACAACCCACTGATTTCTGCGTAAGGTATTTATGGGCACGGCATTGTTGGCACATTCACTGACATCTTGTCACTCGAAATTGAAAACCGTTTTTCATTTGTATCTCACAATCCGAAATATCCGAGTTCATTAAATCCTTGTTAAATATTTTCTGCACGTTGGCTAGCTTTAAATAATTCTTTGTCAGAATCTACGTTTTCTTTTTCAACCATATTTTCTACAAAATGACCTGCGCGAATCAGTTCGTCGTCCGAATCGTTTCACAACATTGCACAAAATCAATGCCAGTTTGTGAATACGTGGTTATTAAAATGTAATGCACGTACAATTTTGTCATATCAATCGCACGGCCGATATAGGCTGAACCATTGTCTTATAAGTGAAATCAATTTGGATAGATTTAACATTGATGTCGGTGTGTAAGACAAACATTACCCTAATGCCCTCGGTTATAAACGAGGCTATCAAAACGGCTCAATGTAAACAATAAAGCTTGGAGACGAACAACACTTTCGCCGTTTTTATTACCTTAAATCACTGTCCAAAGTTTTAAGGAGACATCCAAATAAAATGAAGAACTGTAATGTTGCTGTACTTAGGAGAGTTTTGATTAAGAATAGACACACTCCCTCAAAAGCTCAAGTATCAGAAGTCAATCAAGCAATGGCCAGAGAGGGATTTCTCGGGTCATTGCTTCACGAATATGTCCAATCGTAGCTAAAAATAAACACATCGGTATATCTCAACGTTTTCAACTACGTTCTGGTAGCTAGTGAGAACCCTGCATGAGGTTAGACAACCACAACAGTGGACTTCGTAACACAGATGTGACGTTATCCCTTAATGTTAGCGACCCGTTATTTGAAACCAACCGTCAGGGCCGTGTTACAAACAACTCGGCAATTTGGGAAAGTATTGGGCTCGAAATATTTTGAAAGATACAAGGTCTCTAGTGTCGTTTTGGCGTATAGCGTCGTTTTGGGGTAACTGGAGGTCACTTTACTAAAACACGGAAACTGGGATTTAATGCAACAACGTAATTAGGCGGGGTAAGTTAAAATTAAAAAGTGGATTGACCCCAAACAAATTGCACAAGAAATCAATGCAGTTTGCTTCAATCATACTTATATTAGACAGCAACATAACCAAATTCGGCCGAAGTCTGTCGAGGCGAAATGACGTAATTAACATAATTCAATATCGCGGTCTCTAGGAAGTTTCTGAGAGTGGTATCTCGTGACCAGTCCGTTTCAGTGGTGGGACAATAAATATATTATTAATAAAATCTAACAATACAAAGTGGTAATAGAGGCAAAATGTTTGCCAAATTCGGTAATAAAATGACATTGTCCCCGTATATAACCATGACGTTTACTGTGTTTTTATATGTTTTTCGATGTCTCTAAATAAAAAATGAATTTTGAATATCCGACATGGTAGAAAATTCAAAATTGCTGCCAAAATGGAATCCAAAAATTGCGGATTTTAAGTTAATCGTTATTTTCCCATTTTGAATACGATTTTTATCATGTCTTTCACGTGGTTTTATGTGTCATTTGGTTGAATTCTCGTCTCAAACAATTAATTTCGAAATACAAAATGTCCCCTAAAATG